GTAGGCATGCTGGGAGGGTAACCAGCCTACTCAGGCAATTTACTGACACCGTCAGGCCCTGCAATTAGTGGTGCAGTAACACTGGGCACTCCCATCTTTAGGGCTTTGTGCACCATATTCCTCAGTTCATGATAAGCAGCTCATATCCCAAGGGCACCTGAGGCCCAGTGGTGTCTACCGGGCCCTCTAACCAGGCAAGAATTGTACCTCAAAGGGAGTTCCTTGGTGAGGAGAGGGTGCTCTTTTTCAATTTCATAAGCAGCACTCCTGCGTGATGTTCTGTGGGATGGTGAGATGGCCAGTGTCACTATGGGCTAACCTGGGGCACAGAGCTAGAGTGTGGACACAACCAACGATGGAAAATTTAAAAGTCTACTACTCACACCCTAACCGGTTTGACTTGGCGGATAGAGTGTTGGCCCTTGGACTGAGGAGTCCCAGGTTCGATTCCGGTCAGGGGCATGTACCTTGGTTGCGGGCACATTCCCAGTGGGGGTTGTGCAAGAGGCAGCTGATCTATGTTTCTCTCTCATCGATGTTTCTAACTCTCTATCCCCCTCTCTTCCTCTCTGTAAAAAATCAATAAAAAAATATATTTTTAAAAGTAATTACTCTATCAGGTGCAAGAAAATTACTTTTTGTGTTTGCTCTGGAAGAGCAGCTGCAGTTTAGATCACCAGCTGATGCAGCCTGTGGTAACCCCGCGTCATTTTTCAAGATCTTGGGTCCTTGTCAATCTTGATGATTAAATAGGAACGTGATGGCAAGTGTTACGCGTCTTGCAATCTCTGATAGTAGCAAATTCCACGTGGAGGCAATATTTGCTATTTCATTGGGTAGGAATGGCTAGAGGAGTGTCCTTGTAACCACATGTCCCACATTTTACAGCTCAAGGAGTATATATTCTGCGATGCTAACTGTATCTCAACTCCACACCCAGGACCTGGTTGAATAATAATCACTGGGTTTGTCTGGAGTCCTGCTGGGCCTCCAGGGAGATGGACATTGACAAATCTCTGTCACCTAACACCCTGCAGTCTCATTCTGATTGATGGGCCCAGTGGATTCTGGGAGCCCTGGTATTACTGTTACCTCAAAGCTAGTGTCCGGTATTCTCCAACTACACATTCTGCTCCAGGGACAATATATCAATATCTCTCCTTAGGAGGAAGAATATCTCTTCACTCACTGCTTTAGACTCCAGAGCTAATGTAGTTCCCAACATAGGGTAGGCCCTCAGTATATATATCTGCGAGTGAATGGATGGGTAATAGGTAGATTCCTTTTGCTCCTGCTCCTAGGGCAGTGGTCGGCAAACTCATTAGTCAACAGAGCCAAATATCAACAGTACAATTGAAATTTATTTTTTTAAAAACTATATTTTATTGATTTTTTTTTTTTTTTTTTTTTTTTTTTTTTTTTTTTTTTTTACAGAGAGGAAGGAAGAGAGATAGAGAGCTAGAAGCATTGATGAGAGAGGAACACCGATCAGCTGCCTCCTGCACGCTCCCACCGGGGATGTGCCCGCAACCAATGTACATGCCCTTGACCAGAATCGATCCTGGGACCTTTCAGTCCTCAGATTGACACTCTATCCACTGAGCTAAACCGGTTTCGGCTGAAATTTCTTTTGAGAGCAAAAATTTTTAAACTTAAACTTCTAATGCCACTTCTTCCTAGGCCGTAGTATTTTGTGGAAGAGACACACTCCAGGGGCCAAAGAGAGCCACAGTTTGCTGACCACGTGATGCGGACTCCAGAGTCATGTAAGACTTTTTTTCGCGTGAATTGATGTGTTGCAGCCACAGACAGGCAGTTAGTGCAGCTCAGTGCTTCAGGGCTTTGACTCTGACCCCCGGTCACACACACTGTGCTGCCTTGTCCTCACCATTTCCCCTCTTTAGGTTTTCGCTGTCATCTCTGCCCCTCCCTTCTCTGCAGATAATTTTTCTTCTGTATTATAAAATTTTAACACCAAGTTATTAAAAACCATCTCCAACTCATTCAAAAAAAGAGAGCTCATCAGAACAAAATTAGTAAGCCAGAGACAGAACTTAATGTGCATATTAAGGAATTGATCTATAATGAAGGAGACTTCTGGGCTTCGTAGAAGAGGTGAGAAGGGAAACAGAGCTATAGGCAGAGTCCCAGGGAGGAGAGTGGTGCATGGTGACTTGTGGGAAGGATGCCTCAGGGTGTGCAGGACAAAATGTGCCACGCTCCATTCAAGTTAGATGTATACACATATGTGAAATTCATCACATGTAAGTATACATATATACATACACGTACACATTAAATATATATGTATATAATATATACTCTTGAAATATATTCAATTAAGATTTATGATGTCCAGATAGAATAGGTGGTAGGTATGTGGTTCCAAATGCAAACTGTGCGAATTGCATCTCTTATACCCAGTTCTGCCTCCACCCACCTCCCCTCCACAGTCAGCATCTTCCTTCAGGAGATGTCTGAACTGTTCTTGGCACATATATGCATATATATTTGCCCCTCTTTTCTTTTATCTCCACAAATGGTAGTATACTACACCATGATTTTTCTCTGCAATAATAAGTCTTGGAGATATTTTCATATCATACACAAAGAGCAAATTTATTTCTAATTTAATCCGTCTCCTGCTGATGGACATTTGAGTTGTTACCAATTTTTAAAAATTACAAACAAGGCCGTGATGGATACTTCTGTGCCATTTTGCAAACGTAAGCATATGTCTATTGGGCAAATGTTTAGAAGTGGACTTTCGGGTCAGTGGGATGCGCATTTGCCATTTTGACAGATATTGACAAAGTGCTCTCCCATCAGTCATGTCAAAGTACCTGCTTTCTAACACCCTCACCACCACCACGTCTAACACTCACCTTTAAGTTGTTTCCTTTCTGTGCTGTCACCTCCCTCTATTATGTCAATAAAAATCTGTATCATCAGTAACGTGGGCTTTGGGAATGAAGAAGAAAGCTCTATCAAGTACATGAGGGGAAGCAGGGCTGGAGGCAAATAGCATGTGTTGGAGATAAGATGGTAAAAATGAACAAGCCTGCTGCAGGAAGTGACCCTTCTCCCCCCCCCCCCCAAAAAAAAAAAAAAAAAAAAACAACAACAACAACCCACCCACATGCTTTTCCTGAAAAATAATCTAACCCGCCTGGGAGTTGTTACAACACGTGTGATAGATGCTAGTATGATTAATTCTGTTGTTAAAAATCTGGGTTTATAATTCAAGATTGTTTATAGCAGGATACCTTAAAATGTTCTGGGTCATTAGTACCTCTGAGAATCTGATCAAACCCATGTCCTCTCTAGCAAGAAAAATGCACATGCACACACACAAATTTTTAAATATATATATTTTATTGATTTTTTACAGAGGGGAAGAGAGAGGGATAGAGAGTTAGAAACATCGGTGAGAGAGAATCATTGATCAGCTGCCTCTTGCACACCCCCTACTGGGAATGTGACAGGAACCAAACCTGGGAGGGACCCTTCAGTCCACAGATCGACGCTCTATCCACTGAGCCAAACAGGTTTCGGTCATATAATTCTTATTATTCAAAAAGGAACTCCTATTCACATGGAGGAAGCATAAAAGGCCATTAATTTGGTCTAACAAGCTTTCAAAGAGCATGGCATCCATGAAGAAGAACCAGAATGAAAGAACAGGTGAAGTTCTGAGAAAGAAAGCACTAAGCAATTGTTAAAAAAATAATTTAAAGTAATATGAAAAAGTAGCAACAAATGTTCAAAACATGAAAATTTTCAAAACATGAAATGGAGAACTGAAATGCATAAATATATCACAATATATATTTATATACTGCATATGAGGCCCTTAGAACCATAAGAAATGCAAAAAATTCACTGTTAACTCATTCTCGAACCTCCCCTTTAAAAATCAAATTGCCCCCCTGTGGGGCTCACGTTGGGAACCACTACTCTACACAAAACTGACCATAATAAGATTACTGAGAAGGCAGGATTATAAGTCAAAGAATAGGACATGTGTTTCACCTGAGATCAGAGACACAGTGTCTACAAGTTTGTAAAGCGTGGTCCCTTATCAGCAACATCTATTTCACCTGGTAACTTGATAGAAATGCAGACATTTGGGCCTCATCAACATCTACAGAACCAGAAGTTCTGTGGACGGGGCCCAGAAGTGCTTTCTTAAGCACTCTATGTGAGTCTGATGCTCAAGTTTGAGAAAAACTGCGCTAACGTATATGGAGGGAACAGGGGAGCTGGCGCTCAGGTGTCTGGTAGTTGGAATTAGAGGGCCTGGAGCTTTCCAAGTCATAAGCAATCAAATCGAGATCACAGGATCTGGAGGATCTGGTCTGTTTTCTCAGGTACAAGGAAGTAACCCATAGCCTTCCCTTTTCCAAAGGGTGGGGAACCCAAGGAGCAGGCTTCTGAGCCCTTGGTTACCCAGGTCCACCTGGGCTCCGGCGGGCGTTAAAAAGAATGGAAAGAAACGGGGGGAGGGCAGTGAAGAAATGATGAGAGCCCAGGGGCCCCAGAGCCGCCAAAGATGGAGCTACAGCCCAGATAGGTCCTCTTTATGGGTCCAAGACCCCAATCCCCACACTCCATGAAAGGATGGACCAACTGGCCGTCACCGACTCCTACTTCCAGCCTCCTGCCAATAGGAACCCAACTGCTCAGCCAATCAGCGCCAGGGACTTCTTCCGGCGTCCTGCGTGCTGCCCTGGAGACCGGATGGGCGAATCCAAACGCGGAGGGGTGCTGAGTTCGCGAGAGCCGAGAGCCCCGCCTCCCTCCACCACTTTCTACCCCGGCCCAGGGTCGGTGGACTCGTCCGAGGGCTGGGCGCGAGGCCCTTTGGGTTGAGGGAGGTGCCCTAGCCGCCATACTTCCAGCCAATAGGACCCGAAACTCTTCAGCCAATCAGTGCCCTGCGCTCTTTCTGGCGTCCTGCGTGCTGCCCTGGAGACCGGATGGACGAATCCAAAGGCGGAGGGGCGCTGGACGCTCCCGGCCTCCCGCTGCTCCCGTGCGTCCCGCCTGGCTTCATTGATTCCCCCCCGGTTTGGGGCCAGTGGATCCGTCCTAAGGGGCGGGGGCCCTAGTATTCGAGACCTGCGCACCAGAGGGAGCCGTCTAGCAGGTCAGTTGCATCTCCCACCAGAGGCCAGGTGAGCGGCAGTTTTAGGGGCGTAAACCTGGATTGGGGGTCCCTCAGCCTCCGCGATTAGAGACTGTGGGCTGGGGGGTGCTGCCCACCTACTCCCTCTTCTCCCCTCTCCCGCCATCCCTCGGTCCGAAGCCAGACCGAGCGCAGAGCCTGCAGTGAATTCGCTCAGGAGGCGCCCTTGTTGAAGTTCTTAGCCAAACGCCTTGCCGCCTCCTGGGTCTTCGGGGAAAGGGTGACGCGGCCTGAGGTTCGCGGAGTGGAGCGAGCATCCCGAGGCCGAATTAAAACTGCTTGCGAGGCCCGGATTCCAGAGTTTTCCGATTCAGGAGGTCTGGAACGGGGCGCGAGGATGTGTTTCCATCCAGTTCCCAGGTGTTGCCGATGCTGCTCGTGCGGGAGTGGAAAGGCGGGGATGATTGCGGGGAGGAGCCCAGTCTTCACCTGCGTGCGTGCCCCTGGGTCTTGAGTGCCTCAGTTGCTTGTAGGTGTGATTTGCTCTCACCTGTGGCTTTTCGGACGCTATCTAGTGAACTTGGGCATGAAAAGAGATGTAAACGGTGCACCACGCTTTTAGAAAATGTGCAAGACTAAGCTGTCTGGGATTGCACACACTTGGGTGAGAAAAGGATGGAGAAACCCAGGAGAGCGATTGCTTTTCGGGGGTAGGAGGAGTTGTGATGACTGAGGCTCGTGGAGGGATTTCTGGGGTGGCCGCCCAGCGCTATTCCTGACCTGGGTGGGTGGTGATGACAGCGCTGTGCCTCTGTCATTCAACTCTGTTTTGTGGGGTCTTCTGTATTTGTGTTTTATTTTTACAATTTAAGAGGTTATTTAAAAAAATTTGCCGAAACCGGTTTGGCCCAGTGGTAGAGCGTCAGTCTGCGGACTGGAAGGTCCCAGGTTCGATTCCGATCAAGGGCATGGACATTGGTTGCGGGCACATCCCCGGTAGGGGGTGTGCAAGAGGCAGCTGGTTGATGTTTCTCTCTCATCGATGTTTCTCTCTCTCTCTCTCTCCCTTCCTCTCTGTAAAAAATCAATAAAATATATTTTAAAAAAATTTATAGTGAGAAGTCCATTGTGAAGCATGCCCTTAGACCGTTGGTTCTCAACCTTTTTAATGCCGCGTCCCTTTCATATAGTTTCTTATGTTGTGGGGACTCCCAACCATAAAATTATTTTCGTTGCTACTTTATAACTAATTTTGCTACTGTTATGAATCGTAATGGAAATATCTGTGTTTTCCTATGGTCTTAGGCCAGTGGTCAGCAAACTTATTAGTCAACAGAGCCAAACATCAATAGTACAACGATTGAAATTTCTTTGGAGAGCCACATTTTTAAACTTAAACTTCTTCTAACGCCACTTCTTCAAAATAGACTCGCCAGGCCGTGGTGTTTTGTGGAAGAGCCACACTCAAGGGGCCAAAGAGCCGCATGTGGCTCGTGAGCCGCAGTTTGCCGACCACGGTCTTAGGCTCTACAGCATCTTTATCTGGGTGTATCCTAGCCAATTTATAAACATTTAAGTAAGGTCTCTTTATTTCTGGCTCAATATCTTCTTCATTTTAGCAATGTTTAGTTTAATCACCCAGCTGTTGTGGCTCAGTGGTTGAGCGTTGATCTATGAACCAGGTGGGGTTTGCAGAAGACAGCTGACCAGTGATTCTCTCTCATCATTGATGTTTCATACCTTATGATAGGGGTGTCGAACTCAATCAGAGAAGGGGCCAAAATCTAAAATCCAGCCTAAATCGCGGGCCGAATGGTTTACTGAACAGTCATAAACTGTCATTGTGATGGAAACGCAGTGGAGTGCAGTGATGACAGCGCGGTGCGGGCCACATTGCAAGGCCTGGCGGGACAGATTTGGCCCGCGGGCCTTGTGTTTGACACATGTGCCTTATGAAATAAATGAAAATATAATTAAAAAAATCTTGATTTAGCAAACTTTTCCTGTAAAGGGCCAGATAGTAAATATTTGAGCGTGTGAGCAGACCATGTGGTCTCTGTGTTACAACTACTCAACTTTGACATTGTAGCGTGAAAGTGGTCTTAACCAATATATAAATGAATTGGGCATAGCTGTGTTCCAATTAAACTTTATATACAAAAACAGGCAATAGCCCTGACCTGTTTGGCTCAGTGGATAGAGCGTCAGCCTGTGGATTGAAGGGTCCCAGGTTCGATTCCGGTCAAGGGCATGTACCTCGGTTGCGGGTGCATCCCCAGTGGGTGATGTGCAGGAGGCAGCTGATCGATGTTTCTCTCTCATCGATGTTTCTAACTGTCCATCCTTCTCCCTCTCTGTAAAAAATCAATAAAACATATATATTTTTAAAAGTTTAAAAACACACACACAAAACAAAAACAAACAAACAAAAACAGGCAACAGGCTGAATTGGCCCAGGAACCAGTAGTTTGCTGAGCTCTGACTTCAAATAATATTATTTGTACAATATCTGTGGGTTAGATGGAAATGCTGTCATTTCTGTATTTGTTTATGAAGTATGTTTACATACATTGTTTCATTTGTTCCTCATAATTTGAGGGTTAGTGGGACATATACTGCCCAAGTCATCATACAGATGTGGACATAATGTGCTTTCCATTGTAGCAAAGGCATCAAGATACATTGCCTGAAATTACATTCATTTCATGATTTTTGTTTTTTTTGAAACAGCCGTCACTTTCATTATTCTTGTTACGATCTTTAGGAAGTTGAATATTGGTTTGTGAATTGTTGTTTCTTTTATTTTTCCCATATGTTTTTTCATCCTAAAAAAAGAAAGACTCTGGTGCTCAAACTTACTTGTAGGTGTTGAATGCCAGAGAATCTTAATAAATTTATAGAATTATTAGACTTACTTACGTATTAAATATCCTGGCTAATTAATCATATAAATAGCTTGCATATATGGGTGTCATTTTTGTTCCCACTTTAGGAGCTAGAGATGCCATCAGGCTGTCTTTCTACCAGGTGTGAGAGGTTGGCCCGGAGATGCAAAACTTCGTCCTGTACGAGGAGATCGGCCGAGGGAGCAAGACGGTTGTCTACAAAGGCCGACGGAAGGGAACCATCAATTTTGTAGCTGTGTTTTGCACAGACAAGTGCAAAAGGCCTGAAATAACGAATTGGGTAAGCCAAGTATGTTTCCTTCCCTCTGGCAGCAGACAGCTGTGATTGGGTAGAATAAGTAGTGTGTAAATAGAAGCCATTGAACTCACTATGGCAAGTGCCACGTTTTCAATCTGGATGCCGCCAATCCTGACTAATGACTGATAAACTTGCCCTCATCATTAACAACTTCAGAGTTTTGTTTGTTTTGGTAAGAGTTGGGGGAAATACAGTCTGTATTAGTTCATTTACTTTTAAATTTAGTATGTGATTATGAAGCTTTCCAAAGGAAGGACTTCGGGGGAGGGTGACTTGGGTTTGAAATAGTCGTGCCACAACGACCAGGCTTCCTTTGGACCAAACCTGACCCTTTTTTCCCCTCAACTTTTTTGTTTATTGTGGTAAAGTATACATAACACAAAATTTACCATCTTAACCCTTTTTTCCCCTCTCTTTTGTTTATCCTCACTCGAGGATGTTTTTTCTATTTATTTTTAGAGAGAGTGGAAGGGAGGAGAGGTAGAGAGAGAGAGAGATCAATGTGAGAGAGACACATCAATTGGTTGCTTCTCATATGTGCCCCACCTGGGGTCGGGGATCAAACCTGTGACCCAGGTACATGCCCTTGACCAGGTATTGAACCTGAGACCCTTTGTTGCATGGGCAAACACTTTAATCACTTAGTAATACCAGCTACAGTAGCTCTTTTGATGTATATCTTTTGGCTATTTTCCTATGAATAATATTTCTTTTGCAATATTTACCCAAAATACACAGAATGTATTATACAAGTTTTGAAAAAACTCATTTTTAAGGTTGTATGTTTCCATGTGACCTTCCTTTATAATCATCATTTTGATGTCCATAAAGAATTCCTCCCAGTGAATTCTATTGTTTTCTTATCCATTTCCCGATTGTATATTTAGGTTTTATTTTTGTTTGTTTGTTTGTTTTAATATATTTTTATTGATTTCAGAGAGGAAGGGAGGAGAGAGAGATAGAAACATCAGTGATGAGAAAGAATCATTGATTGGCTACCTTCTGCATGCTCCGTACTGGGGATCGAGTCTGCAACCCTGACATATGCCCTGACAGGGAATTGAACCGGTGACCTCTTGGTTCCTGGGTCGACGCTCAACCGCTGAGCCACACCTGGCTGGGTTATTTAGGTGCTTTTTAATAGATGCAAGGGTTTTAAGAACTTTTCTTAAAAAGTGTGATTGGTGTGTGTTTTATAGGTCCGTCTCACCCAAGAAATTAAACACCAGAATATCGTAACCCTCCACGAGTGGTATGAAACCAGCAATCATCTCTGGCTGGTAGTGGAACTCTGCACAGGTAAGCCACATTATGTGGTTTCAAAAAAAGTCAGCTGTAGGTTTTGTTATTTTCCTTTCTTCTTTTACAGATACATGTTGATATTGTTGACTATGTTAACTTGAAAATCTGTTGTTTAATGGATATTAGGGAAGGGTAAGGGCTAAAATATTTGAGAAGAGGAAGATTTATAATATCATTCGGGGTTCAGCTTTACCTTGGTATAAAATATTACCAAACCACTTATGTGAAAATTTAGAAATATTTTTTAGTAGTAATTAATTTACCAAATAACTTTTTTTCATTCAATAAAAACAAAGTATTTTAGGTCCACTAACTATTAATTAGCTTATTACTTTATAATTTTTTTTTTTTATGAACAGAATACTTGCTCTTTATAAAAACTTAAGCAATGTGCAAAGTACAAGAATGAATCAACAGATACCACCACCTAGGAGTAATTAGAGATCACATGTTCTAGCTCTTGCTTGATACGACTCTCTAGGACTATATACAGGGAGAAGGGTGACTGACTACATAGATATTTGGGCTTTTAGTGCCAGTGTCTTCAGGGAAAAAATGAAACAAGTACCACGGTTAGTGTACTCCTGTTTGTACACCGAGGAAAACAGAGAGTCATTAAATATTAAGGCACGCTGTAATTATGTCTAACTTTATGAGTCTTACCTATTGGCACCTGGAATTTATAAAACTGAGTCACAGAGTGGTTTTGTCATTTCATTTGCTGAGTCGGTGGGATACTTTGGTCTGAATTACTTCCACAGATGTGCACACAGGGAGCAGGGGACTTCTCTGTGTTTTATTGTTGTTATTATTATTATTATTATTATTTATTTATTTTTTTTTTTTGCCTCAGTTGCTGTTTCTGGCCCATGACCAGTGTAATAGCCTAACTGTAATTTATGCCTGTGTTTGCCAAGGTTCCTCACCCACCAAGACAAAATCAAAAAAACCCAAAACACCTACTCCCTTTGTCACGATAATTCTGATTGAACTTCTAGATGCCAGCTGAGACTTCACTGTCTCTGAATTTGGCTCTTGCTTTAATCTTGACCCTGAAAAAAAGAAGCAAACAAAAAACCCTCCATGTTTATTTCTGGCACTGAGGTTTGATTTTCTAATGGTTAAGGAAAGGCACCATCTTTTTTTGCTATGCAGTACATTTGCAGAATTCGACCTAACTTTGTACAGGAACCAATGTGATTATACTTTGCATAATGTCACTTAAATGCACTGTTTGTGTCAGTGTTTCCCCCTAATTTTTGCAGCCATTCCTTTCCCGAAGGAGCTAGAGTGAGACATCACAGCACCAGGGTGATTATCACTTCCTGCTTCCCACCCACCTCCTCACTGAGCAGCCATGCAGACTGAGCAGTCGGTCCCCTGGGCTGGCCTGGATCGAGGACACAGGTTTCTGATAGTCTGATAGGGCGCTTGTCCATGGTGTTCACTCACAGGTGTGCTTCCCCTGCTGGGCTGTCCAGGGGTCCAGATTTGATCATTTTTTCCATGCTCAGTGTCTCTCTCTCCATGGAACCTGCTGGAGGCACCGTGTAATGCTGGGGGGCTAAAATGGGTGATTTTAATCAACTTGCAGGTGGTTCCTTAGAAATGGTCATTGCTCAAGATGAAAACCTCCCAGAAGATGTAGTGAGAGGCTTTGGGATTGACCTGATTACTGGATTGCATCATCTTCATCAACTTGGCATTCTCTTTTGTGACCTTTCTCCTGGGAAGGTAATTCATCAATGTTTTGATTTCCTAATTGCTTGTTCATTGACAGTGCTTTTTCAACGGTACATTTATTTTTAGATATAATTTTAGGTGTAGAACATCTTGAAATTTTGTGTTACCATCTAAATATATAAAAGGTTAATATGCTAAGTATCCATCTGGACATCACATACCTGGCTTCCTTTCCCTAGCGTCTAGCCTCCTTACAGTTTCTTCAGCCCAGGAACCCAACTTCCTTTATAGCCAGGTGGAAACATTTTACACTTTAACCAAATGTCTGTGAAGCATTTCCCATGCCTCATCTCATTTGATCCTCACAGAAGTCCTGGAGTAGGTAGATAGAGACTCAGTGGAATCCTATTTTCTTTTCATTAGCCAGGAAACATATTTAGAAAGCTTAGAAACTTGACCCGACTGAAAAGAAATAAGAAATGGTGGACCTTGAAAATGTCTTCAGGTGTTCTCACTGTATAGCATATAGGCAAACACTACTGCAGTTAAATATTATACCCTTTGTTCTCCCTGCATGATCTACAATACAAATCTGCTTGGTGTTGATATTACTGCTGTGTTGCTGACAATTGCCTGAAAGAGAAGTTGGGGTGCTTGGTTGACACTTCTGTTATGGAGAAAGGGCAAATAGCGATATTAAAATATTTCTTCTAATTAATTTTCTCTCGGTGTGCATGAATTTGTGCACCAGGCCACTAGTTTTTTTAATAAAAGGAAACTGTATTTTAGCTACCTACTTAGCTACCCATTGAAGTCCTTGTAGAATGCAGTTTCCCCTCCTTTCAGAGCTCTGTGACTGATTATTATTGCTGCTGACCTGTATTGTGAATGGTGAGGTTCATAGCTCTCTGAAATCATTCTTAATTCTTATAATACACAATTATGAGCCATTACTTTAGTTTGATAAAGGCATTTTTGGCTATTGTGGATCATATAGTTTCTTTTTTGGTTACGCTAATCATCCATAAATGTGCTTCAGTAGTTGTCATGAAACCTGCCTAGTTTCCTGGTCACAGTTGACACTGACATTTAGGAGCCCTGTGCTCTGGACAAGTTTCTCTCTCTCCCTCTCCCTCTCTCTCTCCCTCTCTCTCCCCACCCTTACTTTCTTGTCTCTAATATAAAAATGGGAATTTCAGGGCAAGTGTAAGGCTTACATGTTGTATTTAGGACAAGCTTCTAGGACACTTTTTGGTGCCCAGTGCCCTCAATCAAGCATCAGTTATTATTTTTAGAAGTACATACTCTTAGAGAGATTGTATTGATTATGGCTCTGAGTTGTTACTGTCTCTTTGTTAATGTGTACACAATGAAATGGAAAGTTGAATGTTTCCTTGTTAAACATTATTAGAAGCCATCTGTATGAGAACATAATTAAATCTTAAAAAAAATCTATAAAACTCTTCGTAACAGATAAAAATCCTTGTTTGAAATATTCATATACTTGCCTGAAGTCTACAGCCATTTCATTGTGGTTACAGCCCTGAAAGCAGCCATAGGCAGCATATAAATGCACAGGTGTGGCTTGTTTCAATAAAACTTTATTCATGGACATTGACATTTGAATTTTATATAATTCTTGCATGTCAAGAAATATTAATCTTATTGCATTTTTCCCCCAAGCCATTTAGAAATATGAAACCACTCTTAGCTCATACCTGTGCAGAAACAGGTGCTGGCTGAGATTTGGCCCAGGGGCTGAGGCGTGTGGGAGTTGTTTAGTGAGGTCTAGGATCAGCTGTTTATAATCTGGGACGTTCAGGCTGACTCGTAATGTAACTTTTATTCCAGAACTGGGGTTGGCAGAGTCTGGGCAGGATTCCTGTTCCTGTAAGTGAAGCTTTATTGGAACATGGCCACACCCTTTTAGTTCTGTATTGTTGGTGGTACAGAGTTGAGTAATCGGGACAAAGACCTTATGGCTTGCAAAGTCTGAAAGATTTACTAACTTAAAAAAAAAAAAAATTGCTGACCCCTCCCACTGGTTCTCAAAGTGTGTTCCCTGGACCAGCAGCATCAGTGTTTCCTGGGACTCATTGGAAATGAGTCCTGTAAAATCAGAAACTCTGGGAGTAGGGACTAGTAGTTCCTCTTAAATCTTCCGGGGGCGTCTGGTGCTCCAACACGTTTAAAAGTCACTGGGGACTTTTAACAGAGATCCTTAATATTTCTGATTAGAAACTAAGGGCAAACTTTAAATTTTTTTTTAAAATATATTTTATTGATTTTGTACAGAGAGGAAGGGAGATAGATAGAGAGTTAGAAACATTGATGAGAGAGAGTCATCGATCAGCTGCCTCTTGCACACCCCCTACTGGGGATATGCCCGCAACCAAGGTACATGTCCTTGACCGGAATCGAACCCGGGACCCTTCAGTCCCCAAGCTGACACTCTATCCATTGAGCCAAACCGGTTTCGGCTTAAATTGTTTTTAACGACAAAAAGCCAGCTGACTCGTTGCAGCTTCCCATAAGTATTTTTAGTGGCCGTGGAGAAAAAATGAAAAGTAACAGGACACTGGCTCCTGGCATGGTTCCAACACGCCACAGATACCTTCTGGTCACAACTTACGTTAGAGACGTGAGCACTTAGCACACGCCAGCCACTGTCCACAGCCCTTTGCACCCATGACTGTGGTCTGTAGAGTTACATCTGCTTTTTTTCATTTTATAGGAGGAGAGAGAGAGGTTTAGAAAGGCTAAGCAAGTTCTCCAGGTCAGATTGCCTGAAGTTAGGTGTCTAACTTTAGAACCTTAGTCTTAGCCAGACATTCTATAAACAACACCTGACAGGCGTGCTTTCTGCCGTATTGTTCCATATACACTGCCCTTAGGGCCCAAGGTTTCCCTCTGTGGTTATTGATGTGTTCATTATATACATCTGAGAATGAACAGCTTATTATTTGATTCCATTATTATTAAAATGTTGGATTTATTTTTATTTATTTTATTTTTTTAAATATATTTTATTGATTTTTTACAGAGAGGAAGACAGAGGTTTAGAGAGTTAGAAACATTGATGAGAGAGAATCATCAATCAGCTGCCTCTTGCACACACCCCCCCCCTCCCCCACTGGGGACGTGCCTGCAACCAAGGCACATGCCCCTGACTGGAATCGAACCTGGGACCCTTTCAGTCCACAAGCCGACACTCTATCCACTGAGCCAAACTGGTTTTGACTGGATTTATTTTTTTTAAGTTTCTGTAAAAAATTTTTTTTTTCTAATATATTTTTATTGATTTCAGAGGAAGGGAGAGGGGAAGAGAGAGAAATATCAACGATGAGAGAGAATCATTGATCTGCTGCCTCCTGCACGCCACCTACTGGGGATCGAGTCTGAAACCTGGGCCTGGGCCCTTGGCCGGAATTGAACCTGGGACCCTTGGGTCTGCAGATGGATGCTCTATCCCCTGAGCCAAACCAGCTAGGGCTCTTTAGCTGTTTCTTCTTCTTCTTCTTCTTCTTCTTCTTCTTCTTCTTCTTCTTCTTCTTCTTCTTCTTCTTCTTTTTCTTCTTCTTCTCCTCCTCCTCCTCCTCCTCCTCCTCCTCCTCCTCCTCCTCCTCTTCCTCCTCCTCTTCTTCTTTTTTAATATAAGCATTTAATTTTCTAAGTTGTGATGAAGCAAGAAATGCTTCCAAGTGCTGTAGTGAGAGTATGAGGTGCTGATGAAGGGTAAGTGGAGTCCATGCTGACCATGTTCATCTTTAATCTGTGTAGATACTCTTGGAAGGGCCTGGCATGTTGAAGTTTAGTAACTTTTGCCTGGCAAAAGTGGAAGGTGAAAACTTGGAAGATTTCTTTGCTTTGGCAGCAACGGAAGAAGGAGGAGGTGATAGTGGGGAAAACGTACTGAAGAAAAATATGAAAAGTAGAGTCCGAGGTATGTGGAGAGTTTTTAGATCCTAACTCTAGTTGTGGGCCACCTAAGTCATGTTTAGGGGAGAATGCTGACCTTTGATTTAAAGAATGGAGGGAAAATAATAATAATGGCGAGGAGAAGTCTGGATACAGGGATGACCTGTTGACAGCCTAAAGCAGTGGTCAGCAAACTGCAGCTTGAGAGCCACATGCGGCTCTTTGGCCCCTTGAGTGTGTCTCTTCCACAAAATATTATACCACGTGTGGGCACGCACGTACAGTGCCATTGAAACTTCGTGGCCCGTGCGCAGAAGTCGGTTTTCGGCTCTCCAAAGAAATGTCAATTGTTGTACTGTTGATATTTGGCTCTGTTGGCTAAGGAGTTTGCCGACCACTGGCATGAAGTTTTCCCGTGCGGACCTAATACTGTGTAGGGCACCGGAACCCCCGACCGCCACTGACCACACGTCAGAACATAACCAGCGGGGGTTTTGCCTCACTCCTGGCCGTGTCCTCAGCACTTGGCACAGTGCCTGGCACACACTAGTGGCTCAGTAGTTATTGGTTCCACATCGCTGAGCAGCTGATATTTGCCATTAAGGAAGATTTTTAGGGGTTCACTCTTGGATGGTGGTTTTGACAGTGAGCTTCACCCTGGCGTGTTGGCTGTCCTTGAGCCCGTGTGCAGTGCTGGGTGCTGTCTGCCTGGATGACTGAGGGGGCGCCTGGGGACGGAGCCTCTGTCAGCCCTGGTCTCTGAGTGTCTGGGCATCAGCCCGCGGCTGACCTGGGCTGCACTGGGGTCTGCATGATAAACAAGCTTTGCTGTAAATTCAGGGGGAATGTGGGGTGTTACTGCTGCGGAACTTAACACATCCTGTCCAAGCTATTCTACCCAGAGCTGCTTTTCTTTTGACTATTTAAATGGTTAATTTAAAAGAGAATAACTATGGACACGAAACTCTGAGGAGAGAGGGTGTGAATGGGGAATGGTAAGATATGTACACAGATAATAATTTAATAAAAAAAATAATCAAGGGGAAAAAATAAATAAATAAAAGAAAATAACTATGCCTATATGTGCCACACCTCTGACTCAGCTGGGTTTTTGAAGTAACTCTGTTTATATTTTCACATATCCTGGTAAAATGGAATCTTAACTCTCGGAGTCATTAAAAGATGTGAAATGCACCTGCAGTTTTGTTCATGTGCATATTCTCCTCCTCAATTTTCCCTCCTCAGGTCTCTCCCAGGCGGGTTTGTGTTGAGAACAAGACGAACATCTAACCGAGCTGTTGCTTGTACTCCCTCTGTAGGGTCGCTCACGTACACAGCGCCTGAGGTGGCGAGGGGCTCCGACTTCTCCGTCGCCAGTGACCTCTGGTCTCTGGGCTGTCTGCTGTATGAGATGTTTGCAGGTTAGTACTTTCCGCTTCCTTTTCAAGTCTCAGCTGGATAAATACAAAGGTGAAATTTTGTAAACGTTTCACCTATAAGATATGAAAAGGTTGGTTATTATTTTAACTCAATTTTTTAAATATATTTTATTGATATTTTAAGAGAGGAAGGGAGAGAGAAAGAGAGCTAGAAACGTCGATGAGAGAGAAACATCAACCAGCTGCCTCCTGCACACCCCCTACCGGGGATGTGCCTGCAACCAATGTACATGCCCTTGACCGAAATCGAACCCGGGATCTTTCCGGGATCTTTCCGCAGACCGACGCTCTACCACTGAGCCAAACCGGTTTTGGCTTAACTCAATTTTTAAAAAATATATTTTGTAATGATTTCAGAGGGGAAAGGAGAGAGAGATAAAAACATTAAATGCTGAGAGGGAATCATCGATCGGCTGCCTCCTGTACGTCCCCCACTGGGGATGGAGCCCACAACCCGGGCATGTGCCTTGACTGAGAATTGAACCATGACCTCCTGGTTCATAGGTCGATGCTCAACCACTGAGCCACACCAGCCGGGCAAAAGGCTGATTTTTCTAATTTCTGTCTATACTGATTTTGGCTGAAGTGCTTGGAGTCTAGGCATATTCGGGTCGCTAGGACCTTTTTGGCTTATAGGTATTTTTTGTGAAAATCTGGAATGTTGAAATGTGTCTAACTATTAAAGAGCTGTGCTTATTGGTCGAAATTCTTGCAAAGCTACCTGTGAATGACTTATTCCCATGTGTTCAGTAGCCCCATAAACTGTGGGTCCTGGTAGGTTCTATGTGTGAATTTGTATATTGGTTGGGGTGACAGATTTTGAATCATAGAAATATAAAAATACATAACAGTGTGCCTGGTATGTACTAGACTTTCAATAATTAGTTATTGCTAGATGAGCATTTGTAAATTGTGTAATGCTGAACTATCTGCAGTTTTTTTTTTCTTTCCAGAATTATTGGTGATGACAAATGTATTTAATTGACAAGTTTTCGTGTAATTTCAGGAAAACCTCCATTCTTCTCAGAAAGCGTTTCAGAACTAGTTGAAAACATTGTCCATAAAAATCCTTCGCCACCTATTCCAAAAGGTAGGATTTTGTTTACAAATGCAGTTAATTTACACTTTACACTGATTACAGGGGCACTTTTGTTATCATTTTTATTGACTCATGACCTCCCAATTTACATTTTATAAGTGTTCCCTAATTGATATTTTTAGAAATGTTAGCATTCCCTTTGCCATTTTTTTTTTTTTTTTTATATACTGAAATGGAAAAGTAGTAGTTTCCTCACTTAAAGTCACACATTACTTTGCCCTCCTATATCTAGCGATGTCTGGTTTACAGATTGAGACGTCTGACTTCTATTTAATTTTTTGTCTCTGTGTCGTTTATCTAATTTGGACTAGTGTCCTTCGTGGTTATTCCTGGTTAGTGTTTGCGTAGTAACGAATCGGGCCTTCTCAGCCCTTTGTCTTGAGGATCAGAATGCTGCCCTGGCAAGCTGGTCAAGCCTTTGGAAGGAGATATAGAGTAGTATTTTAAGTGTTGGGATTTTAATCACACAAATTGTGATTAATATAACCATCTACTTTAACAGTCTTAAGGAAAGGAAAGAAAAACAAAAGCAGGCACAAACGTAACAAAGCACTTTGCTCTGTACCACCAGAAAAGTGAATCTTAAGCCACACAAACGAAAAGAGGACTTTACAAAAATAATATTGAGAATTTTTAAGAGGAAAAAAAAAATTGGAAGTCATTCATGGAAGAAATAGGAATACAGGATATTTTCAATTTTTCAAGAATCACCGCTAGGTGAAAAAAACAAAACTCTTGACATTTTGAAAATAGTCTATATTTCTTAAAACAAAATGCTGCATTTTTTTTTTCTTTCATTAACTTCATCTTATTTTTTGTAGAAATCAGTTATTCGTATTTCTTCTGATGACTTGTCAATACAGTATTATTGTTTTCTCCTATAAGTTTAAGGTTTTTATGCAGGGAAGGAACCTGGAAATGAGGTGCCAAAGGTCTGGTCAGGTACCACTGGTGGCCCACGCTCGCTTATGTCTTGGTCCTTCATCAGACGGTGGCCAGAGTGCCTGACAGTGCCTGACAGTATCTGGCCGTGTCTTTAGTCATTGTCTTCATGGCTTCTTATTTTAACCATTTCTGATAATTGGGCCATGGTGTGTGTGTGTGTATATGTATAATTTAGAAAGGCAAAGCTTGGAGATTAAGAAAATTGAACAATATCATAATGTTGTGATGCTTATTATTTTTCCTGCTAAAAATAAGGTAAAGAGGAATAACAGGTATTCTACTCATAGTATATTACAGCAAAATTAGTTAAATTAATAATAAACACCTTAGAAAATGGGGAATAATTACTAGTGGAAGACAAGGATATGAGTTTGTCAGGCTGGTAATCTGGTGTTAGACAATCAAGTGATTTTAGTGGTTGGTTGAAATTTAGTTTTCAGTAGTATAGGAAAAAATATTTTTAAAAAATTTGTGCCCCTCTCTATTTAAATGGGAGTTTAATTGTTATTAGTAGACTCAGTGTTCTCTTTAAAATAATTTATGTGCTGAAAATACCATGACTTTAAATGCTGATGTAAGGTACGTATTCATCTCCTTATCACTTTTTTCTTTTTTCCTTTTTGGGCCTAAATTTGTGTACAGATCCTTCTCTTCCTAAAGCGTCTCCAGACTTTATGAATTTGCTGGATGGTTTGCTTCAAAAGGATCCACAGAAAAGGTCTGTGTGGATGATACTGTCTGTAATATGAACGACAAGTGGGATCTGTTTTTCTTCCATGCACTTCTGAAATAGCACTGTTCCTAACGCACACGGAGGGTTCAAACTGCTTTTTAAAAAAGGAAATCTGAGTTTACACCGAGGGTTTTTCTTTGCCCGTGTTTTTAATAATTTTCTCTCTTATTGTATTAGTTGCCTAATAGCTTGATGGATTCTCTTGTGACTCCTGAATCCAAGCAGCTTAGTCCTTTCCATTGTAGACTTCAGGCTAAGCTCCCTTTGACTGTTGGACCATCGATGGTACTGTCAAGATGGTTGGTGTCATCACACTAACTAAGTGGTATTTTGTTTTATTTTTTAAAGTATATATTTTATTGATTTCTTTTTTACAGAGAGGAAGGGAGAGGGATAGAGAGTTAGAAACATCAATGAGAGAGAAACATCGATCAGCTGCCCCCTGCACACTCTCCATTGGGGATGTGCCCGCAACCAAGGCACATGCCCTTGACCAGAACCGAACCCGGCACTCCTCAGTCTGCAGGCCAATGCTCTATCCACTGAGCCAAACCGGTTAGGGCCTGAGTGGTATTTTAATGCGATATATTTTTATGATGCCCCTGTCATCGTGGAGACATCAAGTGACAGGAAAAGTGCACGGTGTGAAATTTCTGTATTGCAGCGTGGAGAGGAGATTTCCCTGGCCTGGGTGCCGAGAGCAGTTGGTTCCTAGGTCTGGTTCTGCCCCTAGGTAACTACCCCTAGGTAACCAGGAAAAGGGAGTGGGGTGTGGTTGTGAAGCAGGTATTTGGGTCTCTGCCTCAGTGTAAAATAATGTATTTAACATAGCAAATAAAACACTCCATTCTCTGTCTTCATTAAATGTAAGAGAGACCTGGCAGAAGGAAAAGCTGTTCTTGTGTAAGTTTTAGGACAAAGCTCCCATGCTTGTAACAGAATGTCTTTAGGATTAGTGCTATTTTGGTGGATAATCTTCCAGACATCTTTTGATAGGCTAGAAGCATATGTTATTTAGGATGATATAACTATATTTCCACCTACTTATATCTCTATTGTATACCTTTTTTTTTTCTTCATAAATGGGACCACCCCATAAGCTACTTTTTTCTCTCTGTATCTGCTTAGTCATTTTTTTTTCTTTTTTAAATATATATTTTATTGATTACAGAGAGGAAAGGAGAGGGAGAGAGATCAAAACGTCAATGATGAGAGAGAATCAATGATTGGCTGCCTCCTGCACACCCTCTACTGGGGATCAAGTCTGCAATCTGGGCCATGACCTTCCGATTCGTAGGTCGACGCTCAACCACTGAGTCACGCTGGCTGGGCTATATCTGCTCAGTCCTTTTGACTGGCTGCCGTGTGTACATGATAACCTGTCCTGGCAATAAGCGCTGAGAGTGTGTCCTGACTTAGAATACCATACACACTGCTACAGGAAATAGCCTTTGAGTATACTTTTGTTGTTCACCTGGGCAGTTTTCTCTTTTGGATAAATGCTGGCCGAACGCTAAGAGCGCTAAAAAGTGTGCTTCGTGTGCTTGCATTCGGGGAACATGTGTGAAATAATTTCCACTCTCAGCAACGCTAGGAGGCTCTTAACCCACCAGTCACCCGCCACGGGCTTTGCTGATCTCACACACTTTTGCCAATCTTACGGATGGAAAAGAAATTCCATTTTACTGACAATTTATCTCTCCATGAGTGAATTTTAAGAGTCTTTGTATACATATTTGTAATTTTTTTCTCTTTATCATTAGTGTTTTAATTTTGATCAAAGTAGTTTTCACTTCAATTCAGAAATGTTGAATGATCAGATTAATTAAATATAAGCTATTTTCTTCTTTTGTTTTAAAATTTCAGTCAGGTTTGACCTTTCTGAGTCTGATGAGTATACCTGGAGGTATAATAATCGATTAGTAGTAAAACTTAATGCTTTGAGAGTGAGTCTGGGTTTTAGATATAGTCAAAAGTTACTACAATGTGGGTGACAACAGTTAATGTAGTTAAACAACATTTTGGCACCTAAGCAGAGATGTGACTGTATATAGTCATGGAGTTGATATTCTTGTTTATTTCTGAATGAAGTTGTGAGAGTGAAGTTCCACAAATGAAATGTATAAAACAGGCAGGGTACTCTAGAAAAAATCAAGCCTCTCTTGGGGCAGAAGTATAGGTTGGTAATATGTGATCTATTTACTTTACATTTTTAAATTATTGATAGATTTCTCCATTGACTGTTTGAGAACCCAAAGTGTTTTCATCAAGCTCCCTGGATATGACCCCTGAGACTACTTAATTGTCAGACTCTTTCATTCTGTACCATTTAAGGCTTCTGAATTATTGGTTGTTGTTTAGAGAATTTAACTGCATACTGAAATGAAAGAGTAAAGTATCACGCAATCTCAGGGGTACATTTACATGGAGATATTAATAGATGATAAAATCTGATTCCTATGAGTGGGACATGTCCTGGGACTTTCCGCTATAAGTGGGACGTGTCCTGGGACTCCCCCGGAAATTATATTAACAGGATTTTAACACTTGTGTTTTATAAGATTAACTTGGGCAGACCTGTTGCGGCACCCGTTCTGGAAGGACGCTCTTACCGGAAAAGACCAGGACTCGAGCACCGAGGACTTCGGCATCAGGCAGGACCAGCTTATCTCTGTGTGGGGAGCATGGCTGCTAAATACCCCTACCCATTACTGTTCTAATGAGGCAGCATCAACGACAGGAGTTTCTGTGCTTTCAAAGTAGAAAAATCAAGCATTTGTTTAAGGGTTGTTTAAAGAGTCTTGTCATGACATTTTTGTGTTCTTGATTTTGCGGATTTTCCGATCAGTTGTTTACACTCAAGTTACTGATTTAGTATGGTAGTTATTAGTTCTGTTTATCAACTACAAGTGGCTTCCCATCTTGCAAGCATGGGGCAGGACCTCATTTCCCCCTTTCAGTTAGGTATTAGCCACATGACTTGGCTAATGGAACGTGAGCAGAAGTGACATGTGTTCTTTCTGGATAGAAACTTGAAAGCCATTGTGGGATTTGCTGCACTTCTCCTGGCGAGTTAATTGGGAAAAAAAATGTCAAAACGGAGTTGCTGTCAGGCTGGGTCTTTAGTGTCCACGATGAGCATATCTTTCCTACCAGCCTGCATGTCTGTGTGCGAGGAAGAGACACAGATTCTGAGCCACTGGCATTTGAGGGGTTGTGTGTCACCACAGCATAACCTAGCTCATCCTGACTAATATACTTTGTTTTTATTATAAAAACCTTCTTAGCCCGGGATACTTACAAAAATGATGGTATTTGGAAAAGAACAGGCGAGAAGTAGCTGAATAAAAGTTCTGGTAATTGACTTCTCCCCCTCCTTACCGCATTATGATAAATGGTTGTCTGAGCCTTAATTTCAATCTTGGCAAGTTCATTGTATTGGATAGAGGAGTCTGAATTCTATTTGGAGTCTTTCCCAAACTTGAGTTTCTCTGATCCAGTGAGCTTCAGTTATGCTCTCACTATTGTATTAGGTTCTACAGGATATTGGGCTCTGGTCCACCGTGTCAGCAAGTCACAGAATACCCCCACCTTAGTTTGTCATCTTTCTTTGTAACCTCCTTGTCTTTATTTCTCTTTTCTGCCTTATTGCCCTGCTAGGACTTTTTTTTTTCTTCTTTCTAATAAGATACTGAATCAGGAGTGATGGAAACGAACATCCTGGCTTCTGCTTGTAGGATGAGAGTGCCTTTCCCCCTTAAGAACGATGAGGTGGAGGTTTCTGTAGCTGCCCTTTTTCAGTTTGGATGAATGTTGAGTTTTATTGAATGCCTTTATGTATTAGGTAATGTGACCATGTGGTTTTTCTTCTTTCGATTCTCATTATGGACGCTTTCATAAATTGGCTTTCAAATGTTGAACCAGCCTTGCATTCCCAGTTAGTGTGTATTCTGGTTTTTGTCTTGCTGGATGTGCTTGTGGCCCAGTGGCGGGAAGACAGTGAGAGAGGTTGAGAAAGATAGCGGGGCCCCAGGGGTTTGCCCCACATTCCTGAGGCCATAGCTTTCTGGTTAGAGCAGAGGATGACCCTCTGTGAGTGTTAGGCACTGGCCAGATGCTGCTGCTGTTCCCATCCAGCTGCTGCGGGGTTAGCTGGGGACGGGGGCAGGACAGAATGAAAAGAGAAAAAGAAAGCCTAGGGGATTTCCCTGCTCTGACCCAAGAGGCCCCTTTCCTGTCCTTGGAACACAAATAGAGAGCTTCTTTCAGCTTCCTCTGTCCTCTCGCTGCCTCCGAGCCCAGGCTGGGCAGCACTGAGAGGGGAAAATGCAGGGAAACTCATGGCTGGGTCACGGCTACTTGGAGTTCTGGTTTCCGTCCCCAGTTTGCCGGCTGCCATTTATTTTCCTGGGATAAGGCGTATAGACTTCTTCATACACCGCCCGCACGTAGTGGTGCTTTTTCGCTACTCGATGAAAAGCACTCCTCTTCTCACTCCATGGCTTTGCCGAATGTCACGTGGAATTCAGTTATCTCCAACCTTTTGTTCTACACAGGAAGCTGTGTGGAAAGCTCACAAGTAAGTCTGATTGTGTTGACTTTCTCCTGTTGAACAGCAGAAACACGATGGAATGCTCCGGGTCGCAAGATGCCAAGGAGCTGGTGAGGAGCCCTCCGAGCGGACAAGCCAGAGGGGAGAGGAGTGGTCAGCGGCCGGGGCGCTCTCTGAGACTAGGTGGGCTTTCCTTTGAGCCTGTGTGTGCCCCTGAGAATGCTGCCTCGGAGAGTTCCCTCCACATTCGTGTTGTCTCTCTCTAAGTCCCGCTCATGGGACTCGTTCCTTTATGGCTAATGTCCTCCTTTCCTGCTACAGAAAACCCAGCTGAGTTGCGGCCTAACAATACTCTTGGGGGTCAGCTGAACGAGTCCATGTTCCTTCTCAGGTAGGTAAAGTGACTTAATTGTGAGGGGGCCCTGTCCTGGATTTTAAAAACTTTGTGCCCTCCCTGGCATTTCCTGTGAGCTAAGTCAGTACTTGTTTAATGAATGAATAAACAGATAAGGAAGTGAAAGAGAAATGAGAATACTGATGTTTGGGAAGTTGAAGGAATTTGCTAAAGAAGACCCTGGTGATCTGAGTGAATTTCTTAAAATGTGAAAAACTCAAAATCAGAGACTGGGGGGGGGAATGGGTGGCCCATCGGGAGCACTGAGGCATTGACAATGTGGGAGGAGTAATCACAGTGGGTGTGGGTTTCATATAGCTCGTCACTCGGTAGGCACCAAGACGCCTTTCCATATGGAACACTTTCTGAAATCAAATGGTGAATATTATTCGTCCTTTGTAGAATATCTGACTTATTTTCTTAACGTTAATCCTGCTCACACCAGCAGACATTTAAAGAAGAATAAAATCACTGTCGTAAGGTTTCCAGTAAAAACAGGAAATACTGCACAGAGCATAGAAGCTGTAAACAAAAGAAACAATAAATTAGCCAGGAAATTACTTTAAAAAGTTATAATAGTCATGTAATCATAGATAAGATTAAGTGGTTTTTTTTTTTTTTTTTAATATGATGAGATCACAAAGAATTGACATTCTGTCCTTTTCAGAGGGGCACGTTTCTGACGTGGGAATAATGGTCCCTGGTGTGTGTGTGTTTCAGTTCTCGTCCAACGCCGAGAACCAGCACTGCCGTGGGTTCAAGTCCCGGTGAGGATGTGACCCAGAGTTCAGCGCAGGAGGCGCCTCCTCTGACCAAGGTGAGCAGCGATGGATTGTTTTTTATACGTGAGATATAGAGATTCTAAAGAATAATTGCAAGTTGGTTTCCGAACTATGTTCACGATTATAAAATTCACAATTAAGTCATTTCCTCATCCTTGGTTTTTCTAGATAGCACACTTAAGAGAAAGGTGCTTTATAGTTTCTTTCTTTGTTTAAAATAACAGCTTCATTGAGCTGTCGTTGAATACCACTAATTCACCCATTTAATTTGCCCATATGAAAACTCAAAGGAGACTCCCTGTCAGCGCTGTGAGCGTCAGTGGAGGTACGTTATAGACGGCCTTGCTCCGCATCTTATCAGTCCAGGCTGTAAAGCTCTCCATCAGGCACAGACAGAGGCTAATTTCCGTTCTCGTTTCAGACCGCAGGTGCGCCCCTGAGCCAGCAGGACCTGGAATCCCGGATGCGGGAGCTCATCTACACGGACGCAGAGCTCGTCGTCACGCCCATTATCGACAACCCGAGGGTGCGGAAGGACCTCCCAACCCCCAAGGGCTGGGCCTTCCATTTCCCTGAGGACTGATGTCTGGGTGACGTTTTCATTTCTGTCCCTCTTGTCCGCTTTGATTTCATTCGAACCACACACATGTATGCACGCCTACCTCCCGCCCTGTCTGTAACCCTCTCCCCTTCCTGCCTGGGCGGTGGTCTTCCTGCCCCACCCACCCAGCCTCCCATCAGTCCAGCGGGTCTAGGAGGCCCGAGTCCTCAAAGCCTTCCTTTCTCAATGCGTGCTTACCGTGGATCACTGCAGATGTTCTAGTTGATGGTGTTACCAAGGCAGGTGGCACTGAGCACCGCTCACCTGGTGTGCTGGGTGGGCCGATCAAGGGACCACCGCACCCTCTCATGGGTTCTCAGGACGCAGGTGGGCGGTGGCAGGTCCTGGGAGCTTGGGGGCTCTTGGTTCACTTCTACCCCAGGGGATTCTGTTGCTTCTTGTCTTTTATGTCTTCTTATGGGTGACACACCTTACAGCATTCTTTTCTGTCCTCACTAATTTATACTCTGATACAGGCGATAAATCAGGAGCCAATGTCTGTCTCAAAAGGTGTTCTTTTTTTTCTTCTCTTTGAAACCACAGATCATGAAACAACCACCAGTTAAATTCGATCCAAAAGTATTGCATCTACCAGCATATTCAGGTAGGCTCATAAAGGCTTAGACACTCTGTAGAAAGAAATTTAATGGCAAATAGAATATTTTATTCACGAATAGCTAAATTTCTATCTTCTTGCCAACTGGTTGTTTTCTGGGCAGTGTTATGTAAATTGTAAACAACCTGTAATCCATTTGTGCCAGCTTTGGACCATACTCAGAAAGTCTGGGCTGCCCTGTGCTCTTGTGGGCGGGGGAGTTCCTGAGAAGCTGGCGGGCTTTCCTGTCACATGGGTGGGCCCTTCTCCTGCCCTTCCCCTGGTGAGCCCATTGAATTGCCAACGTTTGTGGTGGTATTGTGGGTGTGGAGGGTTGGAGATCACAATGAAGAACTGGGAGTCTACTCAAGGAAGCCAGGGCAGTTGAGATTGGGGCCAGATGGTTCGCTTTTGTGAGGATGGTGTGGGAATGGAGATACTTAAAAGAAGATTGTTATGTTTCTTTTCACCTACTGGAAAGTCTGATTTAGGTGAATATCAGAAATTAAATAAAAAAGAAAGAAAGAAAGGAATTTAGAAAGAGGGGAGGGAGAGGTAGAGAGAAACATCTATGTGAGAGCAAGCCATCAATCCATTGCCTCCTGCATACCACACCCCCTACCGTGGTTTGAGCCGGCAACCAGGCATGTGTCCTGACTAGGAATAGAACCAGCAACCTTTTGGTGCATGGGACAACGTCCAACCAACCAGCCAGTGCAGAAATCTTTTTAAACCATAAATTTGGATGTATTTTATTTGATAAAAGCGATTGAACTAGATTTGGGAAAACTTCATCATCATAGCTAGAATAGAATCTCTGATATGAAATCAAATCAGAGTAAATAAAAACATAAAATATAGTCAAATTTAAATAAGCCATGCCAAGTAGAACACACTATTTATGAAAACGTAGAGGGTTATTATCAAAATATTATTCCTTCCCCTTTGCCCTTTACTCTGAGTTATTCTGGGAAATGACTGTTGCAGATTGTTTGTTTGAAGGTGGAACTCTGCTCAGCCGTGTTAACTGTGGATGCATCTCTTTCCTAGTTTGGCCATGTGTTGGTATAGAGCAGTGGTCAGCAAACTGCAGCTCGTGAGCCACATGTGGCTCTTTGGCCCCTTGAGTGTGGCTCTTCCACAAAATACCATGGCCTGGGCGAGTCTATTTAGAAGAAGTGGCGTTAGAAGAAGTTTAAGTGTAAAAAAATTGGCTCTCCAAAGAAATTTCAATCATTGTACTGTTGATATTTGGCCCTGTTGACTAATGAGTTTGCCGACCACGGGGATAGGGACTTTGAGGCAGGATCCCAGGTGACTTGAGCTGCTGTATTCGCCTTGTGATGTTGAAGAGTAATCTCATTGGAACTTTTCAACAACTGTAAAAATTTTGGCTTTTCTAATATTTTAAGGCTCGATTGCTTTATTTACAGAAAGATGCTTGCTTTTTTGTAATACAATTTTACTTAACTTTGCATTTTGTTAGATTCTCATTTGCAGGATAATTCTCCCTTAACATCTTTTTTTCCCCCAGCATCGTTACAGAAGTGTCCCATGGAAGAAAACGAGATGAGTATAAAAGAGTCAATGAGAGCAGGGTCAGCTTTGGCGTAGTTTTGATTTTGACATTGTGAAGTCGTGACTTTTTTGTCCTCAGTTATCGAAGTTCTGTTCCATTTTACTCCTCCCAAGATATTTTTGGTGGTGCTTTTTCACGAGGCCCACTTTCAGTCTCTCCTTTCCTCTCCAGCGGAGAAGTTAGTGTCGCTGAAGGACCAGGATTGGAACAGCTTTCTGCAACAAGTGTGCTCGCAGATCGACTGCCCCGAGAAGACCATGGGCGCCTCCCGGGCCAAGCTGAACCTCCTGTGCTACCTGTGCGTGGTGGCCGGGCAGAGGGAGGTGGCCACCAGGCTCCTGCACTCCCCCCTGGTAGGTGGTTACGTCGTGACACCAAGACTCCTCGCACGGTCCTCGCAGCATGCCTTCTGCGTGTCACTCACGTGTATCTAGAGATTAAAACGAGAGCTGAATTATTAATTTGTTCCAGTTACAATGGAAAAGGAATTTATCAAGATCATAGGTTTGTCAAAATTATCCTCTGTTTCTTCCTGAAGTTTAAAAGCAGTTGCATAGACGGTGATTTTTGAACGTCTTTTGCTAACACTCTGGCTTGCATTTTATGTTGACTGGTAATAATTGTGGGATACTTTTTCACATCTGAAATCATAGGACAGAGATCAGTTTGTGGAATGAGCTGCCCCTGTGGGCTAGAGGGTCCTTGATTGGGCCACCTGGTGAACCCCAAGGGTTCTGATCTGACACTGAAGTGTGACATTGAGTCCCAAGACTTTCCCCTTGGTCGTACTATTCCTCTGACTGGCTTGTCATGGGGTGGGGCCCTAGGAGTTGGGCAGAGCCGTGGAAGTCACCCCCAGGAGGAAGTTAGAGTGTCTGGGCTTTCTCCATAGTGGGGTCATTGGGAACTGGCTTGAAAATTAAGTCATTTGCTTTCAGGATAGTTTTAAGGTTACTTTTTTGGTACTTGGTGTGTGTATATGGCACATTTAGGGAATATAAGTGGGTATGAGAAACAGAAAGTAGTGTTTAGTTTTTATTTTTATCATATCCTCAGTGCTCTTGCATTTTTGTGAATAATTAACTTCTTAGTGCGGCATCCCCATCTCAGTTGTATGCAGGTCTGAGAGCTTAACTGTGCAGTCCCTGTCTATGGGGTTTCATGAATGAAATGTATGTCTTTATCTTTATCCTAGTTCCACCTGCTAATCCAGCATTTGCGAATGGCTCCAAACTGGGATGTGTAAGTAACATTTCTATTTTAATAATTTGTTCTTCATCATTTTATTAAGTTACAGCATACATGTTTATCAAAAGCACATTCTAACTACTTACTCATAAAACATTCTTGGTAATGATGATTGAGTCACCGGCAGTTTCTCTAGACATCCCAACACGTAAGATCTCAAAATAGTCCTTATCCTGATATCAGGACTATAATTCTCGGATTATGCAAAGCTTGTCTGGAGACATTATTAACTTACTCTTCGGAGTATTCTTTATCTAGTACTTACCCCTGATCCTGTGCTTTAATTTAGTTACGCCTCCTAAGGAGTTTTCCCTTCCCACTGTGTCTTTCTTTTACCTCATACCTAGCTTCCTTATGGTGTTATTTAAAGTCAAGTGGTATTATGATCTGTCAGCTCTTGGTCGGAGCATGTGTACTTGCTCATGGAGACAGCACGCCACGGTGAAAAGCACATCAGCTAACGCGTTAGAAGGCTCTGGGCTCTGGTGTCAATGAGACTTGACCAGGTGACGCCCTCTTCCCGAGCCTGTCTCCCGGGAGCCTTTGTGGGGCAATGGGATTGCCTGGGTTCGGGTACAGACAGATCTGAGTGTGGATCCCAGACTTGCCCCCCTGGACACATCTGCTTTCCTCATCTGCAAAACGGGGGGAGTGTATTCTCTTCATAGGATTTTGGTAGAATTAAGCTTTGAATGAGGCCAGCATAGGAAAGACCTCACACAGTGCCTGGTTCTCAGTGGGGTTAGTGTATTGGGTGTGGAAGTCATAGTTGTTATCATCAAGCTTATCTCGTGTCCCCGTCAGCAGAGCCCGTGGGGACAGGCAGAGGAAGGGGCTTTGTGAAGGGTGGTAGTGTCGGATATCAGCTATTCTTCCAGCCTGGCAAAATATGGGGCAGCACTAATGTTCGCAAGAGGCTTTTTTTTAAAATTTATTTTTTATTTTTTTATAATTATTCTTATATATTGTACTCTCCCAAGGTAAGGTCTGGCATTATAAAATAGGGCTTTTAAGTAATTTCTGAGCATGGAAAACGTTGAGATTTGTGCTATGCTCATTAAAAAGAAATCAACAAAACCTAACACTGCAGCTAAAACTTAAATTATATCTTTGAAAGGGGTGCCCCCTGCTGGCTTCTTAAAATAGACTTTCTTAATCCTTTCCAAGTACTGCTTTAATACTTTTTTTTTTATTAAAATTTTTTAAAAAAATTTCTCTCTTTGCTGAAAGTACTACAGATGTCCCCCTTACTCCTCCATCGATCCCCCCTCTCTCCCCAGCCATTTGTGTATCACCCCCACTCCCAGGCTTCACCCTGGGGTTATGCTGATACACAAATAAATTCTTGGGTTAATCTCTCTTCCTCCCCCCGCCTCCCCGAGATTCAAGTTTAATTGTTAAACACCTTTAATTTGAGAAAAAGGTAGACAAGTCCTCTGTTTAAAGCTTTCTTTTATTCTCTCCACTCAAATTCCGTTTTCACCAGTGAGGCCTTCTGTGACCCAGGTTCTGTCACCCTGGTGGCATTTGATAAAGGTCCTTCTGAGAGATCACTGTTGAAGTAGGTATTTTTTTTCTCTCTTGGTTTTGTTCACACATGGAAAAACAAAATGGAATCACATCATATAATTTTCTAAGTTTCTCTCCCATTGTAACATGTATTTTAATGTCATTAGTTATTTGTCTTAAGATATTTTTAAAAAGATATGCCTCTTTCTTAATATGCTACGAACGCCTGACAATTTATTTACACTCCTCTCTGTTTTGGTTTAGTAAAAATTATACATAGTGCAATAAGGAACATTTTTGTGTTTAAATCTTTCTGCCTCTCTGTTTTCTTTGACCTCTTAGGGCAGATTTGTACAATTAGAATGAATGGCTAAAAGGCAATTAAATATTTTTGGTAAATGGTTAAAATGCTCTTTAGCAAGATTGTCTCAACATTATTTCCTGGCAGTGTATATAAAGATGCCCTTTAGTTAGAACTTTAGCAGTGGATATTTATCAGATTTGTCCATCAACTTTATTGAAGTATGATTTGCATATAATTATAAAGTTTAAATTTATAAATTGTGGTTAAATATACATCATACACATTTTAGCCATTTTTTAGTGTCGAGAAGTATATTCATAGAGTTGTGCAGCACTCACCACTATCAGTTTCCAGAACTTTCCCATCATCTCAAACAGAAGCTTTTGTCCACTAAACAACAACTCCCTGTTTCCCCCTTCCCGTACAGTAACCTCTATTCTACTTTTTGTCTCTCTGATTTTGCCTCTTCTGGGTACCTAGTGTAAGTGGGATCAGACAGTATCTGTCCTATTGTGCTTGGCTTATTTAGTTTAATATTTTCAAAGTTAATTTATGTTGTAGCATGTACCAGAATTTCATTTCTTTTTAAGGTTGAATAAATTCCATGTATGCAAATGCAACATTATCTTTTCTTCTATTGATGGACACTTGGGTTGCTCCCACCTTGTGGCTGTTCTGAATAATGCTGCTTTGAATATTGGTGTGCAAGCATCTGTTCAGTCCTTTCAGCTCTTTGGGGTGTACACCTAGGAGCGGAACTGCTGGGTCATATGATAATCCTATGTTCAACCTCCTGAGGCCCCATGGTTTCCATAGCAGCTCCAGTTTACATGTGCACCGGCAGGACGTGACGGTTTCTGTTCATATTCTCTATATTTTCTGTATCTTTTTCTACCCCCTCTGATAATAGCTATCCTAATGGGTGTGAAGTGATAGCTCATGGTTCTGATGTGCCTTTCATGGTGACTAGTAATGCTGACCATCTAGATTTTCATGTGCTCATGGGCCATTTGTGTATCTTCTTTGGAGAACTGTCTGTCCCAAGTCCTTTGCCCATTTCTAATTGGCTTCCTTGTCTTATGTTGTTGATTTGTAGGAGTTCTTGATATATCCTGGATATTAACCCCATATCAGATATATGATTTACAAACACTTTCTCTCACTCTGTGGGTTGCTGTTTCACTCTGTTGACAGTGTCCTTTGCGTAAAAGTTTAAAATTAGTAGCTTGTAACTTTTGGCCCAAGGTCCTACCACTTCCTTTTCATGTAGTGCCTGGGGCTTCTTTAATCTGGATGCTAGTTCAAGGGGGATTGGGACCCGTAAGCATCATTGCTGTGCCAGAGCTCCTCGGAGTCTGACGCCTTCCCTCCAGGGGCGCCTGTATCTCTATTTGAAAACCTGACAAGCCAAGGCTCTCTGGCTGTTTCGCCCAGAGAACATGCCGCACTCCTCACAGAGCGCAGTCCTCACCAGCTCACAACTCAGCGTTCTCTCCACATTATAGAAAAGGTTCATGGCAAATGAATTTCCTACATGAAATAAACATTTCCAAATCACCTGAAGTGATGTTTATTTTTATTTTTTAAAATATATTTTATTGTTTTTTTTACAGAGAGGAAGGGAAAGGGATAGAGAATTAGAAACATCGATGAGAAACATTGATCAGCTGCCTCCTACACACCCCCTACTGGGGACCTGCCCGCAACCAAGGTACATGCCCTTGACTGGAATCGAACCCGGGACTCTTCAGTTCGCAGGCAGATGCTCTGTCCACTGAGCCAAACCAGCCAGGGCCTGAACAGATGTTTAATAGTTCATCAGCTTTATTTTCTGCTGGATGATGAAACAAACACTACACTAAGACTAGTATTGATTAAAATAGAAAAAATATTTGTAAGACTTATGATTGCAAAACTTTGTATTAAAGTGAATATATACATGGTGGGGCAAAATTAGGTTTACAGTTGTGAGTACACAAAACAGTTTTTTCTTGTATTATTATTGATACTTATTATTATATTTTCCATGTGAACAACTATAAACGTATTTTTGTACCTACCTGTATATGTTTAACACTAATATCAATAAGTAGTAGAACAGAGATCTTTAACCAAATACCTCTGTACTCAGAAATAAAAATTACTGCCCTAACCAGTTTGGCTCAGTGGATAGAGTGTCAGCCTGCAGACTGAGAGGTCCCAGGTTCAATTCCAGTCAAGGGCATGTACCTTAGTTGCAGGCACATCCCCAGTAGGTGTGCAGGAGGCAGCTGATCGATGGTTCTCTCTCATCGATGTTTCTAACTCTCTATCCCTCTCCCTTTCTCTCTGTAAAATACCAATAAAATATATTTTTTTTAAAAAGAAAAAAATTACTGTGTCCGTCTCTCTGGCTAAGGCCTTTTGAAATGCTTTCCCCTTTGCTGCAGAAGCACAGCTTGTTCAGCTTGTACACAGGGGGGCGCAGTGGGCCTGCTTCAGTCTCCTGCATGCCTCTCACTGGGCTCGGTACACGCAGTGTTGGCTCACCCTGTCTCACCCACCTTATCTCACGTCAGTGCTCATCCCTGCTTAATGGAACTCTCTCGGGGGTCCCTTTCCCCAGTCCCCGGCTCTCCTGTTCAAGGGCTGTTTTCTCTCCCTTTACAGACGGGCCAAGGTCGCTCGCGTGATTGGTTTACTGGCCTCACACACAGCTGAACTTCAAGAACATACGCCTGTTATTGAGGTAATTTCTCTTATTACGGAAATGCTATGAATGACAGAAGGGAGTGTCCCTCATTTTGTGACTTGGACCAGGCAGATTTCATTGACCTTCCCGAAGTTCTCTCTGTGGAATTGTCCCATGGCTATAAGGCAGTAACCTCCATGGACCTTTAGGCTCTCCACCAGCTGGGCATGTAAAACATGTCCTGTTATGAAGGGGTGCGGCAGACTATATTGTGAGCTAGGTCCTGTCGGACAATGACCTGGGTGTTCCCCATAATGCCATCTTTTACACAGCGGGCTGTGATAATTGAAGCAGCCACTAGAGGGCACCCAAACACTGGAAACAAAGTTTTACAAGTTCAAGAATTTATCTTTCAACTCCAGGAAGAAGCAGGCTTAGCAGATACATAGCTTTTCTGTTTTCAACTTTTCCTTGTTTTTTTCCTCTCCCCCCTTTTCCTTTTTCCCTTTTCCCCCTCCTCCCCTTCCCCCTTCCTTACTCCTGCATTCTCCTACTTTCTCCTCTTCCTCCTCCTTCCTTCTCCTTCTGTTTTTGAGTTTCCACCGTGTGAGATGCTGTTGCATTCCATTGGTGATGAAGACACAGGAGATGAATGAAAGCCAGCGCAGCCTCTCCAGCAAAGTGCGGTCAGCACCTTGCCCGTGATCCGGGGGGGGGGGGGGGGGGGGAGGGGGGTCGAGAAGCCTGCTGCAAACCTGAGTGCAGTGCTCCTTGGACAGGTTTCTCTCAGGTGTTTGCAGACCATTTTTCAGTCAATTATTCATAAAATTTCAAGCATGAGATGCATTCTGATTTCTCAGTAGGTTTACTGTTAGTAGATACTAAAATTTGGGGTTGAAGACTCTATAGACCTTTTTACGGTATAAAACCTTGTTTCATTATTCATCTTTGTTTCCCACAGTCCCTGGCAGCAAGGTGACATGTATTTCAGGCACTTAATGTCAACAGCTCTAATAAGTGATTGAAACAATGGTAGGGACATGTGCCGGTGTGATTTATTACAGAGGGGCAGAAGAGATTGGGGGGGAGAGGGATCTGTTGTGCTATCCTTAGGATATACAATAGTTTAAATTAGGGGTGTCGAACTCAATCAGAGAAGGGGCCAAAATCTAAAATCCAGCCTAAATCGTGGGCCGAATGCTTTACTGAACAGTCATAAACTGTCATTGTGATGGAAACGCATCGGAGTGCAGTGATGACAGCGCAGTGCGGGCCACATTGCAAGGCCTGGCGGGACGGATTTGGCCCGCGGGCCTTGTGTTTGACACATGTGGTTTAAATCTTTCATTCTGTCATTATTGGCTACTTAAAAGAGTTGAGCATTACCTCTTGTATGTATTTAGAAGCATTTATTCGATTCTTCATTTTTTTTCATGGAAAAAATGGAACCTGATTCTTAGGCTTTTCCTATTAGATCACCACGCATTTATCGCCCAGTAATCACTGGGGTTCCTGTGTGTAATGATTTTTAGGAAATAGCCCTGGCATTTTGATACACATTTGTAGCCTCAAGCATGCAGTGGATGTAGTTTAGGAAGTGGATTATAGAACCCTAAAATATAGAACTGGATGGAATAGTAGCAGGTGTACTAGTTTGACCCCTTCATTAAATGTTTTCATTGTAGAAAATTCCGACGTACGTAAAAGTAGAGGGACTGGCATAATGAGACATCACTCATTTCCAGCAATTATCAGCACTTTGCCCATCTTACTCGTCTGTCATCTCTTGCTCTCTTCTTTCCCATCTCATTCCCTCTCCCCTCTCTATCCTCTCCTCTCTCACTTTAGTATTTATTAAAAAAAAACAAAAACAGTCTGGACCGGTTTGGCTCAGTGGATAGAGCGTCGGCCTGCGGACTAAAAGGTCCCGGGTTCGATTCCGGTCAAGAGCATGTACCTTGGTTGCGGGCACATCCCCAGTAGGGGGTGTGCAAGAGGCAGCTGATCGATGATTCTCTCTCATCGATGTTTCTAACTCTCTATCCCTCTCTCTTCCTCTCTGTGAAAAATCAATAAAATATATTTAAAAACAAAAACAAAAACAAAAAAATATCCAGCCAGCCAGTGTGCTCAGTGATTGAGCGTTGATTCATGAACCAGGAGGTCACTGGTTTCATTCCTGGTCCAGGCACATGCCTGGCCTGTGGGCTTAATCTTAGGGGCCGTGCAGGTGAGCAGGGAGAGTGAGCAGGGGGTCGGTAGCCCAGGGCACTGAGGGGAAGGTGGTGTAACGTGATCTGTGAGACCCCGAGTCGCAGGTCCTTCTGGAAGCCAGAGGGGGGCAGTGTTCGCAGGAGTGAGGACGCCTCCTCATCTCGCTTCAAACGACTCCTGGAGTGAGGGCCCCGGTGGCATTTGCTGCTCGGCAGGACCGCAGGCAGCATGGGGGGACACAGACTCCCCCAGCATCTCGGAGGAGGTGACGTGGCTCTCCTTTGGGCCAAGCGCTGTTTCAGCGTGGCCTCTCCTCGGACTCGGTGAATGACCTCTGGCCTGTGCTTGCTGGGTGCGTGTGGCCGGCGGAAGGACTTGTGCTCAGCTCGCCAGCTGTGTTTCTGTTTATACTTTTCCTTCCAAAACCTGCATGTGAGCAGGGTCTTCCTGTGGATGGCGGTTTGTAAACACGGAACGGCCCCTCTTTGTGGGGTTCATGCCCCCCCTTTTCATGGTCATTCCTCAACCCAATGGAGCGTTTTGCACCCCACCAAGTCCCCTAGGTAGCTCTGTGTTGGCAGACTGGAAGGTGCCACCTTTCACATCAGTCACTCTGACATTTGTTTCTTCTTTTTTTAAAAAAATATATTGATTTTAGAGAGACGGGGCTGGGGGGAGAGAGAAACATCGATTTGTTGCTCCACTCATTTATGCATTCATTAGTTGCTGCTTGTATGTGCCCTGAGCGGAGATCGAACCCATTGCCTTGGTGTAGCTCTAACCAATTGAGCTACTGGGCCGGGGCCGACACTATGACCATGTCTGGCTTGTTCATAGCCCTGAGCTGAGACAGATGTCATTAAAAAAATTTTTTAAAAAAAAAATATATTTTATTAATTTTGTACAGAGAGGAAGGGAGAGAGAGAGAGAGTTAGAAACATCGATGAGAGAGAATCATCGATCAGCTGCCTCTTGCACACCCCGTACTGGGGATATGCCCGCAACCAAGGTACATGCCCTTGACCGGAATCGAACCCGGGACCTTTCAGTCCCCAAGCCGACGCTCTATCCATTGAGCCAAACCGGTTTCGGCTAAAAAAAAATTTTTTTTTTTTTTTAATTAATTGCAGAGAAGAATGGAAAGGGAGAGAGAGATTGAAACATCAACGATGAGACAGAATCAATTATTGGCTGCCTCCTGCACGCCCCACATAGGTCAATTGAGCCCGCAACCCAGGCATGTGCCCTGACCAGGAATCGAACTGAGACCTCTAGTTCATAGGTCATTGCTTAACCACTGAGCCACGCCGGCTGGGCCCAGTGCCATTTGTAACCCTCCGCACTGTTAGTGTCAGTGAATTTGCCCCTGTGTCTCCCTGCTAAACAACCGTCTTTTTTTGGTTGGTTCTTGGACAGCACGGGAGGGAAATGGGTTGAACAGGATGAAACGAGCTGAATAACATTCAGGCCTTGGTGTAGAGCGAAGGGACACGTGCTGGCTGCGTGTTGTTCAGCCAGGAAGCCCGGTGGATATCATTTGGGGCATCGCCATATTTTAATCACTTTTGCATACGAACGAAACACCTCACATCAAAGAACTCTTAAACGGCACGCTTCCTAAGTTTTTATAATGATCAAATTCATTGAATTTCTTACCTGACATCTTGTAGAGCAGTTTTTACCTTCCGTGTTTCTTGCTTTGACTAATCTGCCTGCTCGTTTTACCCGCGCTGTGAGCACACCTTTGTTACAATATTTTCAGAGCAGCAGCTGTGAGGCTTATCCATTGGAATGTGATGTGTTTAGTAATCCTTGCGAACCCAGCAAATGCCACATTTAATTTTCTATTAGATGAAAGAAACACGGAAGGAGACTTGGTGGTGGAAAGAACTGCACAAACATAACTAATCAGAGCTGATCCCTGAAGCAGAAAAATGCAATTTAAAATGAGCTTTCTTTGTATTTCTGTTATTTGAGGAGTGAAGAGATGACTATTAAGACTATAGTAACAAGTAAATAATAGTTATAAATAGGAAACTCAAGCAGTATTGCGGTTATGTTCTTTGTGTCATAACTTTGACGCATTCCAACATCGAAAAGACTCAGTTTTCATAAAGGACAATGGTGACTTGGTTTCCTAAGAAAACATGTAGCCCAGCTGTGGTGGCTCAGTGGCTAAGCATTGACTTACAGCCAGGAGGTCATGGTTTGATTCCAGGTCAAGGCATTTGCCCAGCTTGTTGGGCTCCATCCTCTGTTGTGCCAGAGAAAGCTGATCAATGATTCGCTCTCATCATTGATGTTTCTCTCTCTCTCTCTCTCTCTCTGTCTTTCTGAAATCTATAAAAATATATTTTTAATAAAAAGAAAAAACTTTATACAATGGGCATAATTGTGTTATGGTTCCAAATAAAAATGTCATTTAGCCCCATCTGGTTTGGCTCAGTGGTAGAGAGTCAGTCTGCAGACCGAAGGGTCCCAGGTTCAATTCCAGTCAAGGGCACATGCTTAGGTTGTGGGCTCCATCCCCCAAAGTGGGCATGAAGGAGTCAGCCAGTCAGTGATTCTCATCATTGATATTTCTCTCTCTCCCTTCCCCTTCCTTTGAAATCAATAAAAATATATTTTTCTAAAAAAAAGTAATTTAACCCTCAATATACAGAGTGGGGCAAAAGTAGGTTTACAGTTGTGAGTGTATCAAAGTTTATTTTTGTATTATTATTTACTAGAGGCCCCCCCCAAAAATGTTTATTTTTGTATTATTATTTACCCCCCTGCCATCCATGCACTGGATGGCAGGGGGGTGGTTTCCTCAGCCTGACCTACATCCTCTCGCAGTCCAGGACGCCTCAGGGGATGTGCAGCTGCTGGCTTAGGCTCGATCCTCCATCCTTCTGGGGACGAGCCTAAGCCAGCAGTCAGACATCCCTCTTGCAGTCCAGGGCTCTCATAGACCAGAACCCCTCGCTCCTTACTGCCCACCTGCAGTGGAGGCAGGAGAGGCTCCCGTCACTGCCACCGAGTTCACCAGCCTTGAGCCTGGCTTCTGGCTGAGCAATGCTTCCCCTATGGGAGCGCACTGACCACCAGGGGGAAGCTCCTACGTTGAGTGTTTGCCCCCTGGTGGTCAATGTGCATCATAGCAACCGGTCGTTCCACAGTTTGGTGGATTTGCAAATTAGGGTTTTATTATATAGGATTAATTATTGAATTATTTTGCGTATGGACGACTGTAAACCTACTACTTTGGTCCCACCTGGTATGTGTATGAAATCCCTGCCCGCAGAGGCAGGAGGAAGGACGAAGGACCTGAGGGAGAGTGTGGGAGCGCCAGCACCTGTGTCTGGCAGCCGATTCTCTCTCACCATTGATGTTCCTGTCTCTCCCCCACTCCCTTCCTCTCTCTGAATCTATAAAAACATATTAAAAACAAACAACCCCCCCCCCCCCCCAATATCCATATAGTACTTGGATTTCTGAAGCTGAAGAAGGCTTAACAAATCTATTTTATCTTTTTGTTCTGTTTAGTAATGGCATTTTGAATGCCAGTCTGCCTAGGTCATCAAACACTTATTTTTCTCTTTGGAATTTGTCATTTCTATGTTATGTTTGTTTACTATTCCTATAGTTTTCCTTTGTTACTAGTAATATTTCTTTAAAGTTTTGCAATAACAAGGGGGAACTGTCTAAACAACACTGCAGGGAAACTGCCTGCCGCGTACCATTCACCGCTCTCCAAAGCTGGCCTGGGCAGCGTGAGGTCAGCCTGCCGGGGTTAGGCAGCACAGACTACAGGATGCGTGTTTGCCTACGCGGTGCTCCTAAGCGCCTCTGTCGTGCTGGAGGCAGTTCACACAGTTTCATCTCTTCAAGGCTCTGCAGCATTAAGATGTTTTAATTTCCAGTGATGCTTATGATACAGAGTGCCGGTGGGTTATAAGATTGAGAAAAGCCGTAAATCCCTGCCCCTAGCTTCGCCAAGCAGCGAGCTGGGTTTGGGTTTCGAATTTAGTGTGAGGTTGACTTAAGAAAAAAAAGAATTAAACCTTTTATTTTGAGATAATTAATAGGCTCATATGAGGTGGTAAGAAATAATCCAGAGAGATCCTGTGTATGCTTCCTCCCGTTTCCCCAGAGGTAGCGTCTCGGAGAATTAGAGTAGAATATTGCTGCAGGATATTGACATCAAAACAGCTAGGGAACAGTTTCAACACCCCAAGGACCCCTCAGACCGCCACTTTTTAACCACGCCCACTGCCCTCTATCCCATGTCCTCCCCCAGCCCCTACTCCTGGCCACTACTAACCTGTTTGCCATTTCTATTCTCTTGTCATTTTGAGAATATTGTATAAGTGGAATCATATGGTATGTAACCTTTTGTGATTGGCTTTTTTCATGGTTAGCATGTTTCTCTGAAGATTCATCCAGAGAAAGAAGCCAGAAAAAGGAATACGTAGTATGCGATCCCGTTTACATAAACTCTAGAAAATGTGGATTAATGACAGGCGGTACATTGGTGGCCCTCTCGGGAGGAGAAAGGAGTGGGGCGGAGGCAGTAGTTACCAAAGGAATGGGGGGGACACTCGGGGTGTTGCCATTTTGATTGTGGCTGCAGGTGATGAGGTCACAGGTGGTTACCTGTGTCCATCGCATCTAAGTGTGCACTTTATATAGCTGCGCTTTATCGTATGTCAGTTTTAAAAAAGACACACCACACCTCCAGTGTCCTCCAGTACCTGACCACTGACCGTGAACTCCCCCGACACAGACACCACTCCCCCGGGCTCTTGTTCACAAGAGGGCCAGAGATCTGGTGCGGGGACAGTGTTCCTTTGTCCAGGTGTTCTGGAAGCTTTCAAGGGCCTCCTTTCGGTGTTTATGCTTCTGTCTTTGCCGACGGGAAGTCGTCTTGTCTTACCGTCGGAGCCCCGCTGCCTTCGAGCAGGTTTCCGCAGGGTCCTCCCTCCTCTCAGCTCCCTCTCAGGGCCGGGCCGGTGTTCACGTGCCATCGGAAACCTTCCTCCCCGCTTCCCGGCCACCGTGCGGTTCCACTCACCCGTGGCCCGGGGCGTGCATTCCGGTGACAACGGGACGGGATGGTCCCAGCACCGCTCCTGGGAAGTGAACTGCGTTTGATAAATGCTGCTGCGTGTCAGCGTGGGTCGTGTTGAAGCTTTGGGATAAGATTTATACTGCCGAGACCGGTTTAGCTCAATGGATAGAGCGTCGGCTTGGGGACTGAAGGGACCCGGGTTCGATTCCGGTCAAGAGCATGTACCTTGGTTGCGGGCATATCCCCAGTAGGGGGTGTGCAAGAGGCAGCTGATCGATGACTCTCTCTCATCGATGTTTCTAACTCTCTATCTCTCTCCCTTCCTCTCTGACAAAATCAATAAAATATATTAAAAATAAAAGATTTATACTCAGATTTTTGAAGGGATCATTTAAACGTTCAATGCCATGAGAGAGTTATTAAACTGGGGGGCGCTGGAGCGTGCCGGGGCCCGGGCAGGTAGGGGCTGGCGCAGGCCCTGGCTGTCCGCGGAGCCGGCGGAGACGTGCCGGGGCCCCCCCCCCCCCTCCCCGTCTCCGCAGTGGGCGCAGTGCCTGCCCCGCAGGGTCAGTGTCGCCGAGGGAGTGCGTGGGAGCTGGCCGTGCCCTCCAGGCCCGAGTGCGTTTTCCCGGAGGCATTTTTGCTGTCATCGGGGACAGCTACTATTTTATTTTTTCAGGAATAAGGCCCATGTTTTGAAAATCATTTGGAAACTGCTTCTTAAAAATGGAAGGTGAACTCTGGAGAGAGCCTCGCCTTGTATAACACATACAGGTTAGAGAACTGAGATACATATCAAATAATATACTTTCTTTTCTTTTTTTTTTTTTTTTTTTTTCTTTTCTTTTCAGGCAATTACTCTCTTAACCGAATTAATTAGGGAGAACTTCCGGAACAGCAAACTGAAGCAGTGCCTTCTGCCAGCCCTCGGGGAGCTGCTGTACCTCGTGGCCACCCAGGTGAGACGTCTGGTCGAGACGAGCCTGCTGGGCTCGGACGTGCCCTGACACATCCCGGCCGGCGAGTATTAATAGCCCACAAAGTCCCCCCTTTGCGGCTTAGAGCACGCCTCAGGAGCTGCGGAGAGAGGCTGCTTCTGGAGGGGGGAGGCTGTCCGTCTCTCCCTGTCTGTCTGTCTGTCTGTCACCTTTCCCCCCTCATCTGCTTCAGAGCAGCAATTTTCAGCCGGTGGGCCGAAATATTCCCCTTGTTTCTAAAAGTAGATCAAGAATCCTTTTCCTGGGTGCTCACTCTACTTGGGCAGAAGCTCGGCTGTTGTAAGAAAGCCCACGTCCGTGGCTGTGATGTGCGACCACATCTTAGGATAGGGAACCCGATTCTGTCCCTGGGTCCACGGAAAGCCGTACGTTTTGGGGAGATGAGGGCTTCTGTGGACCTGTCGCCGAACATATGTCAGCCTTAAGATCTCAGGTCCGTGCTGACCGAGAGGCTGGTGCACCCCGTGTCACAGACCCGCCCCGCCGGCCCCCCCCACCCCCCCGACACTCTGCTCGCACCCGGGGCCAGCTGGAGGGCAGAGGACGGAGGGCTTCTGCGGAGGATGTGCCCCAGCAGCAGTTGCAGTCTGTGTGTTTTTTGCCGTTTCTTTTGTCAGGGATGCCTCCCCTGCCCGGTGCAGGCATTCTTTCTTTCGCCTTTTTTTGGTTCGGCCCATAATCACCTCTTCCCTGGCCGTGGTCAGAACTCCCAGACAGTCGCCTGGCTTTGCACCGGTGTCAGTAAAAGTGTGCTTTCCAGATCTCAGCCGGGGTGAGCCTGTTAAGCACACACGGGAGACAGCGAGTGTTGCTCCTCAGAGGCCCCGGGCCTCTTGTCTTGCTCGCTGCCATCAATCCCTCCCGTTGCTTCTAGGCCCTGTGGGCTGCCTCCCCTGGGCCCGTCTGACCTCCGCCCCCCTCGCTCCCACTCGCTCCTTCCGCCACGCTGACCTCCCTGCAGCTCCTGGCTCACCCCCCCTGGCACACAACTGCTGTGCCCCGCTCCTGCCCGCACCCCTACCTCCGCACTGCGCTTCCTCCTGCTCGGGAGTGTCCCAGGTCTCTGTTCACGGGTCCCTTCAGAGACCTGGCTACATAAGCATGATCACGCCTCATTTATCCACAGTATGAGATGCAGCCACCCTGTCTAGTCTCCCTCTAACCTAGGGGTGTCGAACTCAATCAGAGAAGGGGCCAAAATCTAAAATCCAGCCTAAATCGCGGGCCGAATGGTTTACTGAACAGTCATAAACTGTCATTGTGATGGAAATGCAGCGGAGTGCAGTGATGACAGCGCGGTGCGGGCCACATTGCAAGGCCTGGCGGGACGGATTTGGCCCGCAGGCCTTGTGTTTGACACATGTGCTCTAACCGCTTCCCTGCTGTGGTTTTCCTTATGGCGCTCATCAATAGAGCAGATTCTCTGCCAGCCAGCTCCTGTTGCCCTGTCTCAGTTCCCCTCTAGCTTCTGATGAGGGGATCCTGTGTAACAAAGCAAGCAATGGGAGCAGTCCAGTCTGTGCGGTGCAGTCAGGGACCCCCAATCAGATCGTCATTGATGGGGGGTTGGGGAAAGGGGAAATCATACTGTAAAGGGAACATTATGAAGTTTTGGAGAGTTTGTGCATTTGAAACTGCCCCTTTCTCTTGAACGGGTTACTATCTTTTGTGCTGCTAGCTTCACAGCCTTTTCCTCCACTTCGTTTTAGGAAGAAAAAAAGAAGCACCCCAGGGAATGCTGGGCCGTCCCCCTGGCCGCCTACACGGTGCTAATGAGGTGCCTTCGGGAAGGGGTAAGGCCCTTGGTTGTCCTCTGTGGCCCCCGGATGGTAATAATCCTCCCGGTGCTGCTGGCGCTGCTGTGTGGGACCATAGCCCGCAGCTGCTGGCAGGCAGGCATTGCTCCTGAATGTCAGTCCTGGCCCAGCCACCCCCCAGCAAGTGACCCCCCGGCGGAGCGGGCAGAAAGCGAGCCAGCTTTCTCCTTCGCTTTTCAAAAGGTGGTAGCAAACAGAAGCAGCGGAAGTAGTTTGTAACACGTATTCTTAATCCCTGCCGCCTTTGAAAGCTGCCGAGAGGCCAGTCTGGGAAGCTAGGCGTATGCAGAGAATTTCTGTGAGCCTCAGAAGCCCGCGATTGGCTTGTCAGGTTGCTCTTGGTTTGAAAACCGGGCACCTTGAACAGGAGGCGCCGTTTCGTGTGCGATGTGACTTTTCAGGTTACTCAGATCCCTCCCACACCGCCGTTCACCGCTGTGCACGGCCCCTCGCCAGCCTGCGGGCTCGTACAGAGGTGCCCGCGTGGAACACGGTGAAGGGTTTAGTGGCTGACCTAAGAGGTTGGCATTGTCTGTTTGCTTTAAGCCATTTGACATTGTTTCACCCAAGGCAAAGCCGTGGGCTACGAGCATTCCTTAAGGAATGAAGAAAATATGTCACAGTAAACATCTTCCTTCTGAGTTCTCTGCTCCCCGGTAATGGAGCCATGTTCCACGTGTGGAGCATTCTGTAACCCCCTCCCCCTCTGCCCGTGACCCCAAGTGCAGTCTGAACACCTTCCGGCCTGTAGGGTTGATAGGTAGTCAGCTGTTGTGATGGGATGTGTGTGACGCCGGTAAATTATCTCAATACATCGTTTCAGTAACAGGGCAGTTAAGTCATGTTTATCTGCAGTCAGAGGGTACCTCTAGGTTTCATTCAAGGCCTCCAGTGAGGCACACTTGGGGGTTCACAGATGACGGAGGTGACATTGCCATGCCCTCTCACATCCCATCCATCCTGGAGATAAGATAAAGATATAAAGTGGAATATGTCAAGTAAATAAATGCCGAAGAACAAAATACAGGAACGCAAAGGAGAAAGGAGTCCTCCAGGAATTCTTTTCACAGTGTAAAAGCAATTTTAGAAACTTCGTGCCTTCAGTTTTTAAAACTCAGATGAATGCCTCGTCAAAGAGGATCCATTTTCGTTCACGAGGTTGTATCCCTTATTAAATATCTTCTTTCCTCTCCCTCACATATTTTTCATTGTACATATAATAGGAAGGATAATGTTTGATATCCAAGTGCATTGTTTTAAAATTGTTGTTAACTAGAAGCCCAGTGCATGCGTGATTTGAAGTCGCGAGGCCTGGGGCCTGTAAGGCCCCAGGTTCGATTCCGGTCAAGGGCATGTACCTTGGTTGTGGGCACATCCCCAGTAGGGGGTGTGCAGGAGGCAGCTGATGGATGTTTCTCTCTCATCGATGTTTCTCACTCTCTGAAAAATCAATAAAATATATTAAAAAAATAAAAAATAAATAAAATCACCTTCCAGTTTTGTTATGCTTTTATTGTGTGTTTTTTTTCATATTATTTCAGCTTTTTATTAAAATATGTGATATTATGCTAGGTTGTTGGTAATAGCTTCATAATAGCCTAAAATACCTCACCCATCTCCTCAAATACCTAAACTGCCGTATTTTTCGGACCATAAGACGCTCCGGACCATAAGACGCACCAGTTTTTAGAGAAGGGAAATGAAGAAAAAAAGATTCTGAAACAAATAGTGTCCTAAAATATTTTATGTGCATTAAAACCCAACATCACAGTCATAAACACATGTAATCAGCCCTGTAAAGTAAACAGCAGCATTTAGAACCATTTTAGAGCCGGGCAAGCACCCAGAGACCACACAGAGCCGGGCAAGTAAAAAAACGTTTTTTTTAAAGTATATGTGTAGGCTATATTTGGACCATAAGACGCAGGGACTTTCCCCCCCCCCACTTCTGGGGGGAAAAAAGTGCGTCTTATGGTCCGAAAAATACGGTACCTCCTATAAAATACCTGGCGCATGGGGGATGGGGGGGCAGGTCACTCCCTCCTGGAGCCAGGCCTTTATTTGCAGCGGTCACGAAAAGGTGACGTGTCTGTTTTTCACACTCGGTAACAGCCTTTCCACCCCCTCCTCGCTCTCTGGTCTCCTTCCGCAGGAGGAGCGTGTGGTGAACCACATGGCAGCGAAGATCGTCGAGAACGTCTGCACCACCTGCTCTGCGCAGGCCCAGGGCTTCATCACGGGGGAGATTGGGCCCGTCCTCTGGTACCTCTTCAAGCACTCCACCGTCGACTCTCTCAGGATCACAGCAGTGTCGGTGAGATGGAGCATCTTTGGGGGATACATTCTCACTTTATTGAAACACCAGGCTTGCAAACATTATGCGAGACACAGAGTAGGAAACAGAAACCTCCGAGGAATAGTGTTGATAGCAATAACGTGATTTTCTCCTTCAGTAGAGGTTTCACACCAGGGGCTGGCCAGCATTGGCACCGTCAGGAAATCCTGTCGGGACCCGGGGGGCGGGGGCGGGGGGGGGGGGGGCCCATGACACGATCAAAACTACACGGAGGCGACAGTGGAAAACGGCCCAGAACAGGATTTGGTTTGGTGTCTGTTTAGTGTGCCCGTCAGCTCCCTCTCTTGGATTTTATGTTCTAGTGGGTTTATTCATGTGGTTCAAATGAACTCACCCCCAGGTATCTGTGGTTTTTCGGGTTTTGTGTTTTGATTCGTTGTCTGCTACTTTGCGCACAAGGTCATGCTAACTCGGTGTGAAGGATAGTTATGTTTGAGACGTGCTAACAGGGTTGTATCAGGTGAATAGTCCTTGGGAGAAATGCAGTGCTTCCTCATGACATTAGTTTCTGTCCCCTCGTTGGTCACTGTTCTCTTGACCCCTCAGCATTACATGGCAGCCTCACTGCCTGTCTGTCTGCTCATTCGTACCCTCCCCACTGTGGTCCTCACTCCCCGCTTTCCTTACACCTCCGACCCCACGTTCCCCTTGGCATCCTCAGGAAGTGACTCCCCGGGGAGAGTGAGGACACCCAGGGGGAATCACCCTCACGTGCGGCTGCACATCAGAGGTGTTTCCACCCACACCTGTCCCCAGCGCCCCCTCCTGCTGCCTCTGACTGTGTCTCCTGTCAGACAGACCGCCCAGCTTCCTCCAGGCAACCTCACTCACTGGTTATTCTTCCTAAATCTCTCACCTGTCCTTCCAGAGCTTTCTAATCAGCATTCAGGTATTCTTTGCCCCATTACAAACCAAACCAAACCAAAAGCACAGAAGTAAACGTGTCCGAAGGACTCAGGCTGCGTATCCCTCTTCACGGCCATACTTGTTTACACAGAGTTGTCATTACAAATTGTCGCTCCTTTCTGGCCCATTTCCTCTTCACCCAGCTGTTATCTGTCCTGAAGATGTCACTGAAGCTGAGTCCATTGAGATCTGCAGTGACTTTCATGTTGCTAAATCTTGTGGGTATTTATGGATATTTTTTAGTTCTTAACCTTAATTCACCTACGTAATTTTGAAGATAATGGGCTAACAATCTGGCTCACAGAGAATTATTAAGCAAGGGATATATAGCATCGCATCACACACACACACACACACACACACACAGGCACTCATGCATGCACACAGGCACTCATGCATGCACGCACACACCCCTACACCTGCTTCAGGAGCCATGTGAGCTCAAAATTACAAAACCTAATGACCGTGCGAGTAATCATGGAGGAAGCATCAGAGAGCTCGTCACAGAGGATGCCAGTGAACTTTCTCCAGTCGTCTTGGAATTATATCTTAAGGCATCCGTTTTCATCGTGGCCCTGAGGAAAAAAAAAATCTGTCTTGCTTTAATTGGGTTCATGTTCTCATATCCATCTTTATATCTGCGTGGTTTCTTTTCTTGGCTAATTTTTCCCAGTTGTTCTCACCAAAGTCTTGTTCTTTTTAGCCCTTTCTTCATCTGACACATGAAGCTTCATTTTTCATCTTGGGCTGCTGGTGTTTCTTTCTTAGCATTCATCTAAATAATTTTTCACTGACATTTTGCCAATTAAACAAAAAAATGTATTTTCTTTTCTGTCCTCTTATCCCCTCCCTGCCCCTATTCTTATGTCTTTAAACCTCTTGGGTGGAGGAGAGTGTGTGTAGTTTGAAAAAGCCTCCAAGGTGGTTTAAACATGGCATCCAAAAATCACTCAAAAGACAAAAAAAGGAATGATTCTTAAATTTCTTCAGCAGTGATCCTGGTCATATAACTAATACGTACACAGCCTTCTCTTCTAAATGAGTCCATTTCTCAGCTTTTTATTGAATAGAAATTCTGAAGGTACTGCAATGTTCTTTTGGAAGCAAATTTTGAACTGGACCTATTTTTCATGAAAAGGCTGAAGACTCTTCCTTGTCCTTTTAAGAAAATATTTTTTGTATGCTTTTATTGATTTCAGAGACAGGAAGGGAGAGGGAGAGAGAGAATGATTATGAAAAGATCAATGAGAATCAATGAGCGAGAATAATTGATTGGTTGTCTCCTGTGTACCCCTGTTAGGGATTGAGCCCGCCAATCAGGCATGTGCCCTGACCGGAATCCAGCCGTGACCACTTGGTTCATAGGTCAGCATTCAACCACTGAGCCACACTGGCCGGGCGCCCTTTTCCTTTTTCCACATCTCGCTCCCGAGGACGCATTGGAGAGGGTCCTCTGCTTTTTCACGGTTGCTATGGGTGCTACCTGTTCCTTCCTGGTTGTAATAGCTCACAGTAGCGTTTTCATGAAGACTGGAAGTGTGGTTTGGCATAAAAGAAATACATCCACTTTAAACATGGCATTCTGGTTTGAGATGGACTTTCTGCCAACCAGTACTTGTTTTTTCTTACTTTATCAATAGGAATAACTTTTAAAGGGAGTTCATTCTTGGAGATAGAACAAATATTAATATTTTTCCTGAGATGTTCAAGAAAATGAAAATATTTCTCAAAGTCTTTATCTTCTCTCTCCCTCCTGCCTGCCGCCCTTTCTTTTGACATCGTAATATTTCTAACAACTCATCTTTTGCTTGATCTTTTCATTTTAGCAATTCATCTTATGCTTGATCTTTTCATAATCAAGGTTATAAATCCACTTTAAGTATAAATCAGGAAGGAGGTTATGACATTAATTATAGTGAATGTTTTTGTGAAACTATTTCTGGCCCACGTTTATTTCTCTCTTTGAAGTCTCCCAGGGACACGGAATATGACCAGGCCTCTCTTTCACTTTAAACTTTTGAGGTCTTCCCTTTGCTTGTGGCTGCGGTTTTCAACCTTTTTTTTAAAAAATATATATATATTTTATTGATTTTTCAAGGAGAGGAAGAAAGAGGGATAGAGAGTTAGAAACATCGATGAGAGAGAAACATCAATCAGCTGCCTCTTGCACACCCCCCACTGGGGATGTGCCCGCAACCAAGGTACATGCCCTTGACCGGAATCGAACCCGGGACCTTTCAGTCTGCAGGCCGATGCTCTATCCACTGAGCCAAACCGGTCCCGGCTGGCTCAACCTTTTTCATCTCATGTCACACATAAACTAATTACCAAAATTCTGCAACACACCAAAAATATATTTTTGTCATCTAACAAAAAATAGGTACAATTTTGATTCACTCACAGCTGTTGTTGTGTTGGCTATTGTCATCTTTTATTTGATAATCTAAGGACAAAAGGTCAGTGTCCCTGAATGAATAGTGAGGTATTGCTAACTAAATGTTCTAAAAATTCCTGCCACACACGGGTTTAAAATCGCCGTCTTACGGCATACAACTAGAAGGCCCTAGCTGGGTAGGCCCTCTCTGGCTTCAGCTTACTTTTACAGATGGATCCTGTTTTCCTCTTTCCTACTCTCTGCCTGCCCTCCTCCTCCCGAAGCAGGTTCTGCTTGCATCAGGCAAATGCTCTTCATCTCCCATCGCCATGGGAATCCTCATTCTCTCTCTGCCTAGAATTTTCCTCCCTTCCTTTCCCGCCGCCCATTTCCTGCTTCCCCTGCAGGAGCTGGCTCAGCATCACCTTGCTTAGGGAGCTGTGGCTGAGTTGCCTTTCCTGCCTTTCCTAGCGTGATTACTGAGCCCCCTCCTATTCCAACACGTACTACATTCTGTTAGTTTATTATGTACAGGCTTATATATCTAAAAGCTCATGAGCAATTTAGGAAAAGCTCAGAGGTCTGGTAACCTCAGTTTGAATTCCAGCTTTGCTGCTTACTAGCAGATGTTTTTGGACCAGTGGCTTAAATATTTTATGCCTTAGTTTTACCGACTATGAAATGGGGCTAATAATAATACCTTACTTACACATTGTTGGGAGAATTAAATGAGCTAGTCTGCAGATGCTCTCGGTGTTCTCCGCATACTGAACAATAAAAGTTAGATGTATACTTTCGTGATTATTTCCCCAGCTCTTAGCTTGGTGTCTGCAAAAGAGGGCCCTTAATGATGTTTGCTACTTACGGTGAAGTTTTTCTTTCTAGACTTATGAATTAGTTTATCATAGTTAGCTCACCATCATTTATATGACTATTACTTTAAGAGTATCTAATGTTTTATTTTTTTTTAATTTTTATTTTTTTCAATATATTTTTATTGATTTTGTACAGAGAGGAAGGGAGAGAGATAGTTAGAAACATCGATGAGAGAGAGTCATCGATCAGCTGCCTCTTGCACACCCCCTACTGGGGATATGCCCACAACCAAGGTACATGCCCTTGACCGGAATCAAACCCGGGACCCTTCAGTTCCCAAGCCGACGCTCTATCCATTGAGCCAAACCGGTCTTGGCAAGAATATCTAATGTTTTAAAACAACTTTAGTTTTCATTAGCAGCTGGATTATTGTTTTATTTTTCAATGTGTTGAAAATTTCCAACTCACTTAAGCCAGAAGCAGTGACGAAGGAGCACGCTAAGTGCCTTCTACGCTGACAGGCCTGGCTGATGCCCTGGGAGTGACTGACAGCTCGGCGCCCTGTCCCCGCAGGCCCTGTGCCGGATCACACGCCACTCCCCGTCCGCCTTCCAGAGTGTCATCGAGAAGGTGGGCCTGTCCTCAGTGATCACCGCCCTGGCCTCCGCCATCTGCAGGGTCCAGCAGTACCTGCTGACCTTGTTCACCGCCATGCTGTCCTGTGGGGTCCACCTGCAGAGGCTGATCCAAGAAAAGGTTTGCTCTTCCCTTCACCTCATACTCCACTGTCACACTGTTTTCTCCCACCGTTTCAGTCGAATATCATCTCTGGAGGATTTATGTTTCATCTCAAGGCACCTTTTTGAACTTTGCCATGCCTGTGTACCATAGGCCGTTCATCTGAAGATGTTATGAGAGCCTTTCAGTGATTAAAATGGAAATGGCTCTGCCTGCTGGTCCCATGTCCATAATGAAAAGCTACAAAATGTCCTTTCTGTACACTAGTATTTCTCATGCCACCTCTTCTTCTCTCCCCCTCCTCTTTCTCCTTCTCCCCCTCCTTCTCCTCTTCATCCTGGGACTCGTCTTCTTCCCTGTCCCATTCCTTCACTTCCTCCAACTTTTGCCCCATATCCTTTGTCTGCCTCAGGGAGGGGTCCCTTTACATTCTGACTCACTTTTATTCCTTTCCTTGTCCAATTCTCTGTCAGTGCCACACACCCCGAGAGCCAGCCCCCGTCCTCCTGCTTGTAACTTAGTCCCCATCTACTGCTTTGCTTTCCCATTATTTTATGTACAGTCGTTTGTAAAATCACATCACAAAACTGCAGCACTCTGAAGAAGGCTCTGTAGGGTAGCTTTCCTCAGAGTATCTTCTCTAGGCCCTTGCTGGGTAGCTCTGTTGGTTAGAGCATCATCTGGAAACTCCAAGGTTGCTGGTTCGATCCTGGTCAGGGCACATACAAGAATAAAAAGGTTTTAAAAAAGTGTTTCCCCAGTCCTTGCTGAAGAGAGAGCCCTGGGCCAGCACCGGCATCTTCTGGGAGTGTGTTGGAAACGCAGGCCCCACCCAGGCCTCCCGAGTCAGAATTGGCATTTTACTGAGTCCTCTAAGTAACATATTTTAACTTTATGGTTTGAGAAGCCCTGCCCTAGAGTGTTAGCATTCAATTCAGTGAGGTGTAAACAGGTGAAAAAAGAGGACCCTGGTTATATATACATTTGGAAAGTAGTGAGTTAGAGAGAATCTTAATGGGCAGACTCTCCCATTGTTTCATATGCCTATGTGTCTTACGAATCTTCGTGCGGTGGTTTTTTTTTTAAAATATATATTTTATTGATTTTTTACCGAGAGGAAGAGAGAGGGCTAGAGAGTTAGAAACATCGATGAGAGAGAGTCATCAATCATCTGCCTTTTGCACACCCCTTTCTGGGGATGTGCCTGCAACCCTGGACCGGAATCGAACCCGGGACCTTTCAGTCCGCAGGCTGACGTTCTATCCATTGAGCCAAATCGGTTTTGGCCATGCAGTGTATTTATAACTTATGGGACCACTGGTTACTTTTCAGAGGGAAATGCTTGTCACATTGGGTTTTTGCAGAATGGTGAAGGTGACGCTGCCGAGTGTGAATGGACCCACTTACGTGTTTCCTGTGGTTCCTCTGCACTGCATGATTTCAATTTTGATTTTCATACTACAAGTTAAAATTTCAATAGTTACTATTAATAGTGGTCAGGTTTGCATAGTAAACTTGGCCTGTGAAAGTCTGAGAGCAAGCCATTTCTTGCCTTTAATTAGTCTGATTTAGACTTTGCTGAGAGATGTGAGCTTCAGAGGAAGTATTTTTTTTCCAACAGTCTGCATATTTAACTTTTGCTCCTAAATTTTCCAAGTCATTAATGTTGTTGTCAGTGTATTAGAAAAAGCACCACTCGAGCAGTTTGACTGTGTAAATTGTGATAATAGAGGCTGAGAGTTTTAGCAGGTTTTTTCCACCCGAGCAGAGGCATGAATTAATTTAGTTTCAATATGATATTCACAAGCTGGTCAGATAAGAACTTGGTAGTTGGGCTTCCCTGCGGTGTGGGACGTGTTGGGGAGATCTGGGGAGAGAAAGAAGGCCAGCGAAGCCGAATGTAGGCATCAGGGATGAAGGGCTGTGGCAGGAAGTCAGAAGTAGGAGAAGACAAAATAAAGTACTTATCTCCCTAACTTAATATCTTTAAAAATTTTATATGTATCTTTCAAATTCACATTTGTTGTGAATATATATGTGCACATACACATACATTCATCTATTCCCTCCTTCCTGTTGCCATGCACACGTGCCATCAGAATTTTTTTTACAGACATGGGATCAATTTTATATTGTTGGTTAATCCATACTTTTCCTATCATTAGAATAAGTTAAAGCCAAGCAATGAGAATGAGGGTGATGGATAGTATGTTGTCCTAAACCTGCACTGACATATACACACAGAAGTTTATTCACATATAAATACAACTGTGTCTATACATACATGTGTGTGTGTGTAGGGAGAAGGGGAAAGTATGTGAATATCACATTTAACTAGACAACTGCTTTATGATTAAATCACTGGTATGGCTTCAAAATACACACAAAAAGCTTATGTTAAGAACTCAGTGCCTGATTCTTAATGTTAAGAAATCGAAAGCATAGGAAACTTCTGGAATCCCATTCTGCTGCATTTCAATTAATTGAGCTTAACACACTCACATCAGCTTAAGTCACATAGATTCAAACACCTGTCTCAGTCATTTTGTTCCTGGCATCTGTGACTTTGAATGGACTTAGTAGCCGGATCATCAGAAATGCATCCTTTGGACTTCGTTTGCTTTGTGGGGGAAGGGGGCAGGTGGTTCCCTTAATGATATAATATGAATTTTTAAAGCCCTACCATATTCCACAGGTGAGTTTGTTCAGGCTCACCGGTCAGACAGCTTCCTTCTGAGTGCCCTTGACGAAGATACTGCCTTTTAAGGTTTTTGTGTATTAATTTTGACAGTAGCCGCTGTCTCTATTTGTGCAGTCTGGTTTGACTGCAGCCTTGCTTCAGGTTTAGCATTTGGACCAAGCAGCACAACAGCGATTAATAATAAACTAGAAGCCGCAGACCTCTGTTGTTTGTAAGCACTGTGGAAGTTCACTATGAAATTTCGTGCCTGCAGAATTTTGAAAAATCTGAACGCTAAGTTTAGTAAGGTTTTATTTCTCACAAATCACTAATCACTAGGTGTATAGGCTCACTGGTTGCTAATCAAGGTTTTCAAATATGGTAATTAATTTATGCATACTAATCAGGTGATGAGTGCATACTGTGATATTTTTAACTTGTCCTCATTAATAAATATACTCTACTAGAGACATTTTTTACTTAGACACGTGGCTGAACTTCTTTAAGGAAAGTATAATCCGAAAACCATTTTAGATTTAATCGGGACAGTTTTCATTTCCGTCAGTATGAAAATTGTGTCAGTGTAGTTCTACACGTGATTTCTCACTGCTTTTCCTTGAGGCTATTATCAGCGATGGCCAGGCCGTACTCCTTGATTTTCTCCTGTGACAGTTGATTGAAGCAGATCAGTTTCACTGCGTGAGATTCACAAGAGATAATTCTGACGTTTCCTACCTCATCACTATTTTCCTTCACCTCCTCATTTCCCCTTTATGATATGTGCTGAAGGGATGGCTCATCTTTTGCTTAATTATGATAAGGGTAACATTTTGTTTGTGGTGGATGCTTCCACTGTGTGGGCCCATTCCTAACATTCTGAATATTCCGTCCCATCGTCTTTATGTTCAATAGATATGTCCATTTAAATGGCCTCTGCTTTTTGTTTCCACATGCAAAATGTAGGTGTACTGAATGGCAGGGTGGATTTAAATCAAAGCTGAATAAACAGTGATTGCGTGCTGAAATGACCAGAGGTCATTTGTGCTTCTCTGAAGGTCGTTTTGATTAGTCCTCCATGCCATTAGGCCTTTGCCTGCAGTCTGCAATCTCCTCTCCTCAGGTGTTGTAAGAATAATACTGTTCTAGAAGTGTGGTGCTGTTTTGTAAGATTAAACACGGGGCCCTGGGCAACTAGTTGCAGGGAGGTGGTCACTGCTGCTCTTTCAGTTTTTCTGAAGTGGCTAAATCAGAATTTAGCTTAGATCCCAACTGCAGTCTGTAATATATTGCCTCTTCTTCAGAACCCAGTTCCCGTTATTTCTGGTGTTTGCTATAGTTTGCCTTGTTGGTTTGACTCAAAATCCTTAGTGTATTATTTTAATTTGCAAGATTCTTAGCAGTGACTTAATCTCAAGGGTTGCAGCAACTATTGAGAATAGTTGACCATAATAGTCAACTTATAGATGACTAACATAATCCTATTTGCTGTCATAGAAGCTCACTGCAGCTGCATCTTGTAGAATAGATGGAAGAATGCAAGGATGGGTAAAGCCTCCTGCAATAATTCAGGAAAGATGATGCATTGAAATAAGCACAGTGTTTCCCAAACTTTTGACATATGGATACCCCTTCTATAATTTTCATAACGCTGAGTACGCTTCGTACTCATGAGAACATAGAATTAGGCACAGCTAATGACGGTGCAGTGCATATCCCCAACAAACTCCGATGCAACACGTACCCCCACCAAACTTTTCCCGTACCCCTGGGGGTACGCATACCACACTTTGGGAAACATTGAAATAAGGCATCGATGGTGGGGTGGTGTTCTCGCAGGATTGGGAATCTATTGGACATAGGATGGAGGAGGAAGAGAAAGTCAAGAAAGATGCCCAGAATTCTGACCTTAGCAGGTTGATGATCGTTGGAGCAGATCCCCTTTTGGTAAGGTGCTAAGTTTGATGTTGGACGTGTAATACAAATGATTGCAGTATACCCTTCACTCATATTCACCAAAGATGGACATTTTACCTTATCTACTTTATAGTTTCTCTTTCTATCTCTTTTGTTTGTTCTTACCATTTCTAAGATGTTGTCTTCAATTATTTTTTATTTTTATTTTTAAAATATATTTTATTGATTTTTTACAGAGAGGAAGAGAGAGGGATAGAGAGTTAGAAACATCGATGAGAGAGAGACATTGATCAACTGCCTCTTGCACACCCCCTACTGCGGATGTGCCCACAACCAAAGTATGTGCCCTTGACCGGAATCGAACCCAGGACCCTTCAGTGGCTGACGCTCTATCCACTGAGCAAAACAGGTTTTGGCTGTCTTCAATTATTTCACTGAATATTTCCCCAAACAAGCTATGGATTTAAAAACCAAGTTGACATTAATTTAGCATTATTATTAGCTAATCTACAGATCTTATTCAGATTTTGCAGTTGTCCCAGCAATGTTCTTGTATGCAGAACAAAACCTCCTGATCTTAAATTGCAGTCAGTTAGCATGTCTTCTTAGAGTTCTATAACCTGAGTAATTTTTCAGTCTTCAGCTAGTGGATGTTTGAATGGCTTTGGAATTTGTGTGTGTGTGTGTGTGTGTGTGTGTGTGTGTGTGAGTGTGTGTGAGAAGAGGTCATATTGGTGTGGAAAACAGATTGTGATCATGGTCTTTGGACCACAGAGAACTAGAAGGTGACTGGTGAACCAGACTGTCTACTGTGCATGTGCTGGAAAGGCGAATAGTTGACTAACATAAGGTGGAAGCAGATCTGTTACTCAGGGAACCTTGGTGTTGATTCTGTTTTGAACAGAATGGTGAAGAATTGGCTTATTTTTTTTTTCTTTAGGAACTAGGTGAGACTGATGCATAGTTAGAGATATTGGGTCTAGTAATAATTAATGTCTTTTTTAAACATTTGTTTAAAATCTTGCTTGGCGTTGACTTGTATTGACATAACCTTCAAACACGTGGTATCTACAGAACGTGTGAAGTGCAATTAACAAGTTTTGCTTGAAAAAGTTTGTGTTTGGTTTGGTTTTTGTTGCAAAACTAGGGCTAAGAAGATGGCGGATGAAGAGCATATTCGGCACTGCATGCTTTACGAGTTCCAATTAGGAAGAAAAGCAAGTGAGGCTGCAAAAAACATCTGTAGTGCGCTTGGTCAAGATGCAGTTAGCACCAGAAAATGCCAGCATTGGTTTGAGAAATTTCGCGAGGGAAATTTTTCGTTAGATGACAAGAGTGGTCGAGGCCGTGTGTCCAATTTTGATCAAGAAGCTCTTCAAGCTCTTTTGGTGCAAAATCCTCAAATTACCCAACAAGATCTTGCGACAACTTTAAATTTTTCACAAAAAACAATTTCCAATCAATTGCGTGCACTTGGCAAAGTCCAAAAGTTTGGAAAATGGGTTCCTCATGAGTTGACCGACAACAACTGTAATCAAAGAGTCACAATTTGCAGTTCGCTCCTCTCTCGTCAAAACCGTTTGCCGTTTTTAGAGCAAATTGTTACCGGAGATGAAGAATGGGTGCTGTATGTTAATTTGAAAAGGCGGCCTCAATGGTTGGACAAAAATGAGGCTCCGCAGCCCACGCCAAAACCTGACTTGCATGCGAAAAAAGTAATGTTGTGTGTTTGGTGGAATTTTAAAGGAATTCTTCATTATGAACTTTTACCATCTAACCAAACCATTACAAGTGCAGTGTATAGTGCCCAATTGGAAAGGTTAGCCCAAGCTTTAAGAGAAAAAGAACCCGCGCTGATTAATCGGAAGGGCGTAATTCTTCACCACGATAACGATAACGCACAACCGCATACTGCAAGAATCACTGCTGAAAAACTGTGCCAGTTGGAATGGGAAGTTCTCCCTCAACCTGCATATTCTCCTGATATTGCCCCTTCCGATTACCAGTTGTTTCGTTCTTTGCAAAACTTTCTTCTTGGAAAAAAATTTAATAATGAAGAATGCCTCAAAAATGCATTGACCGAATTTTTTGCATCAAAATCACAAGAATTTTTCAACAGAGGAATTAAAATGCTTCCTGAGCGTTGGGCACAAGTAGTAGAAAACAACGGCAACTATTGTATATTGTTGATTAAATTTTGTTGCATTGTTTAAATAAATTCGATTTAAAAAAGTATTAGAAAACGACATTAATTATTACTAGACCTATACATAGACATCTCTCCAACCTTCAGAGAAACATACACCTGACTGTGTACATCTGTCTGTGTTCTTCCTGTCTGACAATATGGCGCCCACTGTAAAGGCCTGAAGCATGGTAAAAAATTGAGCTGCTTCCATCTGCCTTGGACACACTGTCACCGTTAGGGACTTGCCTCTGTGAAGGACTCCTGGGAATTTGTGTTCCTGCTCTGCAGCCATTTTGGTGACAGCACAATTCCATATTCTTGCCTACTTACATTCATTAACTTTTATGCAGAACAAGGGTTTTGTGCGTGTGTGTGTTTTCTTTTTGCATATTAATAGACACCTAAAATGATGTGCAATCTCTCAGAAGGGGAAAAATTGTAATACTTGTGTTATTCTTCTGTTTTGCATTATACCTTTAATTACATAGGAATCTATGTTTTCTCTTGTGTCAGGTGTTGAGTATCATTTTTATTTTATGTCTCTAGGACCTGTGCATGTGCAGGTTTGCTCAGAGGCTCCTGTCTGCATGCAGTGATGGCCGCCAGGCCTAGTTATCATGTCCACACTTGCACTTGAGTCTTTGAGTGGTTAATAGGCAGGCTTTGCTGTCCGACTGGCCTGGATTTGAATCCAACTTTGTGAATTTGGGCAAATCACTTAACCTTTCAAAATTCATTTTCCTTTTTCAAAATGGGGAGAATATTGTCAACTTTTTATGGCTGGTTTTCAGGTTTAAATGAGATCATACATATTAAAAATTTACTGTAGCATCTGGCACAAATTAAGAATGCAGAAACGGTAGCTGATATTATTTTATTTCCTGCTTTCTGTTTGCTTATTATAATCCATTAACCTTGAGAGTTGACTGCCCTATTTATTTCCTGTTTTCTAAAGCAAATGTTAATATCTCCTACAGGATTTTGTCTCTACCATTATCCGTTTGCTTGACAGCCCCTCAGCTTCCATTCGAGCCAAAGCCTTCCTGGTTCTTTTATATATTTTGATCCACAACCACGAGATGCTGCTGCTCAGCTGCCAAGCAAGGTATGACTTTCTCTGATGGCTTCATCAACGTGTTCAGATGGGTGCCTGTTTCATTATTTTTTAGCCTCTGTGTGTCTGGTATTGAATTTTTTTCTTGGTGTTCTCAAGGGTTTAATATTTCATGTGCAGCCTCCACTTGGAAACCCTGGAGACCAGGGGGGCTGTGGAACCGAAGCAGGTGGTGGGAGCTAGCTGGAGTTTCCTAGGCCTGAAGATGATCCCAGGCGGATATTGAGGTGGCTCTGGCTTTCATCTTTGGGAGCGATTCCTGGCCCAGGGTCTTGGTGGTAGTTTTCATCATTGTAGGATTCTGGAATGTACGGTAGCCAGCCCGCAGGACAGCCTGGTGAAGTAGAGGAAGGGGCAGGGCAGGGATCGGGAGTATTAGGACAGGCAGGTCTCTCGCTCTCTGGGCTCCCCCCACCCCGGAGCCGTCCTGCATGTACTCGGTTCTCTTCACGCTCCTTGCTTCCTGAGTAGCATCTTCTGAACTGTCCAGTACATATGCACCGTTGAACCCCAGAGAGACCGTAAAAACATGGTCTAATATCTATTTATCAGTTTAGCATTTTAATTATTATAGAATATGGAGGAGAGCCTGGTGTTATTGAGATGGATCTTGATTAGGGATTGGCAGACTTTTTCTTGTGAACATCTGGAGAGTAAATATTTTAGGTTTTGTGCATAAAGAGGCAAAATTGTGACTATTATGTAGGTACTTACATAACAAGAGAGAAAACAAATTGATATATATATATATATATATATATATATATATATATATGGTAATACAGGTATAATGAGAAGAATAGAATTTTTTTCTTGGTGGCTGGGGAGACAGAACATTTTGCTTAATTAGGGGTCAAAGTTAATGTCCCCCTCAACAAAGCAGTGACAGGTGTTCATGATAGTGCTGATCTCTAATGTTGTTTTATGATTTCAGAGAGGAAAGGAAAGGGAGAAAGAGATAGAAACATCAATGATGAGAGAGAATCATTGATTGGCTGCCTCCTGCATGCCACCCACGGGGGATTAAGCCCACAGCCTGGGCATGTGCCCTGACTGGGAATCTAAGCGTGACCTATTGGTTCATAGGTTGACATTGAACCACTGAGTCATGTGGGCTGGGCATTTCGTGCTTTTAAAAATAATATGTCCAGGGATTTTTAGTTATTAAGATGGGGACTTGAGAGGATTGGGGTTGTACCAACTAGGCAGAACTAGAAATCCAAAGTCTCTTTTGAACATGGCTCATGGAAATGTGAATAGATCCAACTTTTGGGAAAGTAACTCAGAAACACTTGTGACTATTAACAGTATTCATCACTTTGGTTCTAACAAGCCTACCTTTGATATTTAGCTGCTAGAAATAGAGGTATGAATTGTTTAGGAAATATGCATGATAGTATCTAATGTAGCATTGTTTCTAGTGGTCAGTATCTGGAAATATAATTCATGTCCATTGATATTGAAATACTTCAACAAATGATGGTATAGCTAAACTAGAAGTCACTGTCTCATTTGATTAGCTTGGAGGGATGTTCATTATATATAGGTAAGTTTAAAAAATGGAAGGACAATTATAGTATATTAACTAGAGGCTCAGCGCATGAAATTGTGTGTGGGTGGGGTCTCTGGGCCTAGCCTGTGATCAGGGCCATCTTATCACCACCCACCCCAGTTCCCCCTTTGCCATCCACCGATGGGAGCCTGATGGCTGGGAAAGGGACTGAGAGGTTGGCCATTGCTGCCTGCTTGTCGGCCCCACCCCCGCTGTGGGTTGCCCTTTGTGTGGGGGTGACTGGCAGGGCAGAGGCCTTGGCCTGGCACCGCCCACATCCCTCGCCACCCACCCTGGTTCCCATTCGCCATCGGTGATTGGAGCCACCACCCTGGCTCCCGTTCACCATCGGTGATTGGAGGCTGCCTGCTGGGGAAAGGGACAGTTTCAGGAAGCCATTTCTTCTTTCAGTCAAGCTATGCTCTTCTGAAGGGATACTTGCAAGATGAGTGAATTTCCTGGACTGGAGCATGTTACCATACTTCTTTTGAGACGTGGTCAGTGCACCTCATAATGACTGATCAAGCAGTCGTTCTGGTCATTTTGCCATTATAGTTGCTAGGGTTTTATTATATAGTATTATGAAGTTATTTTTAGAAAACAAATAAAAATGGCAAAATTCTTCTATTTGTGTGTATTTGTATAAAATTTTATTTTTAAAAACCTGCATGGAGAGATATACATGCAGATTATCTGAGGAGGATGGGATAGGGATATTATGTATCTTAATTCATTTTCAGCCTTATTACAATAAGTACATTTCACTCCTATAATTAAGAAAAATATTTAATGAAGCAACAAACTCCTTAAAACTAAAATAAATATTAGCAATTAGCAAAATTGCCAGTCAGTTTTGAAGGGGAACCCCTAAGGCAGTCAAAGCTCACATTTTTTAGACTTTGTAGATTAAATTCAGTAATAAAATTACTCCCAGACACACAGGCAGCCAGTACAGACTATGCAAAGTTGGTTTCTATTTGTTCCTTTGTGCTCGGCAGCCCACGTATTGGTTAGTGTGCAATTTTATAAAATGCTAGGTTGAATATAAAATTATGGAAAAGAGAGGCAGACTCAGGCCAGAGAGATGTTAAAAGTGTCTTTGATGAATTTATATGGAAAAAAGTCTCCCTTCCTTACTTGTCTCCTGAAACTCCACTTACTGCTGGAGTTCTGAGCTTACCATGTGCTGCCGTGTGCCTGAGACCCAAAAGCTCACGTCAGGAGCCCACGATAACCTTTGTAGATATTTTTCCTGCTTACCATTGTCACTGTTGGCCTTTTATGGATTAAATTTCAGCACATTTTTTATGATGTCAGCTTTCACGTCTTTCTAGCATGGCGGCAGTGAAATGGAGCTGTCAGAATCGGATAAAAATGATATGATGGCCCCAGAATGTCCACCTATTACTTCAAATGGCTTCATGCTCACACTGAATATGGCGGGTGATAAAATAGGGTCCTGTGTGTCTCTAGAAATGATAACCCTTTTAGAGGATGAATAGGCTTTTATATCTATTGTACGGGTTTGCTGCGAGCCTGACATGCCAGTGCCTCTTGATGGATCAGGTCTTCCAAGAGGTTTTGCACCCTCCATAACATTGCTGTTAAAATGGTTATGGGGGTGGGGGGTGGGGGGAGAGAAACACAACAAAACTGCTTTGATCTTAAAAGAACAATTAAAAAAATATTTACCCTATGTGATTGGTTAACTGTGTGGGAAAAAATTATCTTCTCAGCTTACACCATACAAAAGTCAATTCCAGATGGATTAAAGAATTATGTACCAAAAGAAACTATAAACAGCTGGAAGAAAAAATATGTTTAAATATGGGTAAGGACAGCTTTTCTGAGTAGAAACCATAATGAAAGAAACCATAAAAGGAAATTCTGAGAGTTTGAGGCTATATATAGATCAGATACTTTTTCTATTTCCCCAAAATCATAAATCAAAAAATTCTTGCTTTCAAAATCTGTACTTTTTTTTTTTCATTATATATAACAATCTATGCATTGTAAAGAGATTTATAAAGATGGTGAACAGATATTCAGCCTCCTTAATACTCAAAGAAATGCGAATTGAAATAAGCAAATATTATTTCTACCCATTGTAATATCAAATTAAGACAAGAAACTATCAATATCTTATGTCCAATTGGTGGGACTACCTTTTTGAGGGCATTTCCAAGTGTGTATCAGGAATCCCTCTGATCCAGCAGTCCACTGACATAAATAACCTTGATTACAGGTTTGTGCATTGGCTGAGGATGTCAGGTACCTGGAAGATCTTGGTTGCCAGATTTTCATTAACTTTATTAGATAAAGTTGAAGAACTTAGAGGCTCTTAAGAGTCTTCTTTGGGTTCTGATTGTCCCTGGCTGCACTATTTGGCAGCAATCCGATTTTCTCTTGGTAATCATGCTCACTATTGTCCTGTAGAGCAAGCAACCTTCTTCGTTCCCCCAGATTGAACTGTTGTGTCCTCTGGTGGGAACTTTTCCTCCCTGGGAACCAGTCCAGCGGAGCTCAGGGTCATGGAGGCAGGAAGATAAACCCTGGGAGCCGGCTATTAGATGTAATAGTGACAGGCGGTCACTCCCACTTCTACCCCGGGGTTGCCAGACCTGTGTTTAGACTATGGAAGAGACAAAAGCGTATGTTTTGCTTGCTGATTCAAAGCATATGCTTCATTGTTGTAAGATAGAGCCCAAATCTGCACTGTGTTTCCCAGTTGGCACTGTGACTGAGTTGTCAGGAAGCCATTTCTTCTTTCAGTCAAGCTAGACTCTTCTGAAGGGATACTTGCAAGATGAATGAATTTCATGGGCCGGAGCATGTTACCATACTTCTTTTGCTACTAATAAGTTCCTTTATGTTGATTACCATGATAGTAAATAAGTTAGTTATTAAGTGGTGCTAAGCCTTGTGCAATGCAAATTCCAAAAAAAATATGTTTCTTTTGGAACCTAGGTTGAGAACCACTAGCAGGGTTGCCTATGACCATTGGAAAACACAGATATTTACATGATGATTCATAACAGTGGCAAAATTACAATTACGAAGTAGCAACAAAAATAATTTTATGGTTGGGGGTCACTACAACATGAGGAACTATATTAAAGGGTCGGGGCATTTGAAAGGTTGAGAACCACTGTACTAGAGGGATAAACAAGTATAGGACATGACATGTTTGGCCACAGAAGCATGGAGATTCAGCAGGAGGACATTCTAGAAGGCGGGAGGGAAGCATACAGGTGGATGTGTGTGGAATGAGCATAAGGATTCCTTTAGAGACAGGAGTAAGAAAATTGTGGTCCAGTTAGTGGGAATGAATCCTGGAGGAAAATGGGGGTGGGGGTGGGGGTTGGAGAGTAGATTGGGAAACACAATCCTGGGGAGCAATGATCCTATTAAAGGCAATGGAGGAAAAAAAAAAAAAAAAAAAAAAAAAGAAGGGATCTTATTTATTTGTGGTCTACTTGGATTACTGTTCAGATTGTTAATCTTTTTAACTTGATACTAGGACATCAAGAAATATCATGTGCAGTTTAGTTGTAGAGCAATTGTAAAGTGTTTATGGATACTATGCTCAAATGTTCCCATATTTTATTCCCTTCGTAGACTGCGAATTCTTTTAGTAACTAATGTGCCCTTGTCAGTAAAGTGAATTTATTCTATAGCTTGTGTAAACACATTCTGTAATGGGAAGGCATTGGGGAGAGCATCCCAGAAGGAGGAAATGGAGCATCATTCTAGAGTTCGTTTCATATTGTTATGGATCCCATCAGTCTTTTATTTCTCCCAGCAGAATCCATGGATATTTCCTTACGTGGTAACAGCCTGTACTAGTAACTGAAAACTATTCAAGTAGCTTTTGCCTTAAAGATGTTTTAAACTACAGTAATTAAGCTGCACGTTATTAAATGTTGTCATAGATCATTTAAATTTCAGAGAAAAATATGACTATGGACAAGTGAGAATTTACTTTTTTATACTCTGCAAAATTTGGATTTCACTTATGAAATAGTGGAGTCCTATTGCTTTGGTTTACTCATTAATCAAGAAGATTTGTGGTCAGATTCTGCTGACTTAGGCACATTTTCTCTGCATTTGACTAATGTCATATATTCGTTAGAGTGTGGCTGGGGCTGTCATCTACAACTAGAACAGAGGATGCTCACCGGCTTCCATGGCACTTAAGATTTTTGATTTTGTTTTATCCCCATGTGTTCACACATAAAGCAAAACCATGAAAAAATCTGCTGAGAGAGCCACAAAGATTCCAAGGGTTGAGATTTCAGTCCCCTTCGCGTGTATTTATTACGTGTGAACCACCTCTTTGCATCTGGCAGTGGGAGCTGCTTGGAAATTCTCCCTGAGAAGTAGCAGTTGGCTGGGATGAGTGCGAGAACAGAGCTGGGAGATGGATGATGGCCAGAGAGGCCAGCAAGGGAGCCGCTGCACAGGGGCCTCGGCCTGATGCAGTCAGCGGGCTCTGTGCCTTTAGAGTGCTGAGGGGGGGAAGATGACTGGTGGGTCCAGCAAAGGGGATGGATATGGGCCTAACACTTGTAAACAGCAGCCCAAGTATCTCTAGAGTGATAGTCCAATATGATGGGGTGGACACAGCTGGTTCAGAAATTGATATTAAAGGGATGCCAGTGGTTTGAAGAAGAAATAAGTTTATTAAAAGGCAGAAATCATAAGATTACTGGACAAAAGGACACGTGAAACCTGGTGATGGAACGAAATTCTTTCTTTGGTTTTATGTACACGATTTACTAAAGGAATTGGAATTCATGCAGTTGGCCCGAGGTTCCAAGCAAATTGCATACATTGAATACTGATGACAAAGTGCAGGCAACTTGCGGTTCTACTTTGAATCTTTGAAGCTCTAAGAACCGTCTTCTGTCCAGATGCCTTTGCTTGCCTTTCACTAGCATCTGGGGAATGCGTTTTTGTTTTTATTCCATGGGCCAAGGGCAGATGATGTCATCAGGGCCCTGTGTTGTCATACACTGGCAGAGATACCAGTTGCCTTTCTTTCTGCGTAAATGTGAGGCTTTTCTGAGGCCAAATGGGCTGTGCCTGACGTGTTGCTACCAATCTGAATGCCAACATGGCGGGCTCTGCCCGCCCCCTGGAGACAGTGCCATGGCGGCATCTTCAGACAGATGCCATCAGCTCTCTTATCCTGAGCGGTGACCTGTCGCACCTCTGTTTGCAGACTGGTGATGTACATAGAGAGAGACAGCAGGAAGACCTCTCCGGGCAAGGAGCGGCAGCAGAGCGGCAATGAGTACCTGTCCAGATGCCTGGACCTCCTCATCCGCCACATGGTGCAGGAAGTGCCGCGCCTCCTGGGTAAGCCGCAGTCTCACCCGCAGGCCCCTTGCTGGGACCTGGCTTTTCGGCGTCGCCCCCTTTTTATTCTGGCTGGTGTGTCATTGCAGGCGAGTGAGCGACACTCTGCCTTGAATGTGTAGTTTCAGCATCTGTTTTCCTAGTTATTTTGCATCAGTGAGGTGACTGAGGCAGGAGCCCGCTGAAGGTTATGTTGGGGTGTCATCTATGGTAAATGGGTGGTTTTGAAAAATAAGTAAAAGGAAAGCATTTCAATTGCTCAAAATTGGACTGATGCTCTTATTTTGGATAGTCTCGCTCAAATTTCTCTCTGCTTACAAAACTTACTCTTTTAGATGAGAACCGCAGATTTACTTATTGTTCAAAGTACTTAGGAGTGCATACACATTAACATTTGATATTAAAGGCTTTCAGTATTAAAATTTAAAATTTTCTATAGCTTGAAAAATTAAAAAATATCTAACACTGATTTGCAAAAGATGTTTTTTACAGCTAATCCCTTGTTTCATTGTTATTTGCAGAAATTAAAATCTAAGGGAGGTTTACATTTAGTTTAAATCCCATTTCATGCTTTTGCAGCAGATGTAGCGTGAAACCAGGAATGTTTATTGCTAAATTGATCCCACCCATTTTGGTAAATAGACTCTGAAATTCATGATATGAAGTCAGAGTAATGGAAATATCTTCATGGCTGAATGATATGCCTCTTTGCTTCTTACTGATACTTTGGTAGATTTTTTATATTTTTAAAAATATTGATTTTTTACAGAGAGGAAGGGAGAGGTATAGAAAGTTAGAAACATCAATGAGAGAAAAACATCAATTCAGCTGCCTCTTGCACATTCCCCCCTGGGGATGTGCCTGCAACCAAGGTACATGCCCTTGACCAGGATCGAACCTGGGACCCTTCAGTCCACAGGCTGACGCTCTATCCACTGAGCCAAACCGGTTAGGGCTGGGATATTTTTTTTTGTCTGTTAATAACTGAAAATAGAGCATTTCAAAATTTATTTTGGATTGTAACCTTTGTTTAGTCTTCAGTCTGAAGGCTTTGTGAGTCTAGTTTCTTTCTACTAGACTCTCTCTGTTTAAGATATGCTGATTAGGTTCAAATGTCCACAATACAAGTTTTATTTATTATTGGACTGATCATCCAATGAGAAGTTTTATGAATTGATCTGGTTTTATTTCCATCTATTATTAGAAATTGTGATCTATAATCTATTCACTTATCATCTTTAACATTTTTTTTCTGTTTACCAGAGTAATAGGCGCTTATGCTTAAAATTTGGAAAACACACACACACACAAAAGAAGGAAAATTATTTCTCAAACCCCCACTCTACCATGCTATTTATAAACTCAGACTTTTAGGTGAGAGATTTAGAAGCCACAGCTTTCTGCTACAGTCCCAGTATTTGTAAGTAATATCTCAGCTTCTGTCCACTTCATTTACTGTAGAGGTTCATTCCCTCAGCAATCTTATTAGTTTTCCAGCCATGACCGGTGGTCCCTGAGTATCTGTGATCTTCACCGCTGCAGGTGACATTCTCGCCGCCCTGGCTAATGTGTCCGGTCGTAAACACCCGTCAACTGTTCAGGCGAAGCAGCTGAAGCTGTGTCTCCCCCTGATGCCTGTGGTGCTTCACCTCGTCACCTCCCAGGTATGATCTTATCCAGAGAAAAATAATATGACCTTGACTCCCTTCTTTTTTAAGAAAATGTGTTTTTATTTATTTTTTGTTTTTTAGAGAGAGAGAAAGGGAGAGGGAGAGAGAGAGAGAAACATCAATGAGATAAAATCATTGATCGGCTGCCTCCCATATGCCCCCTACTGGGGATTGAGCCCACAACCCTGGCATGTGCCCTGATGGGAAATCGAACCAGCAACCTCTTGGTTCATGGGTCGACTTTTAACTACTGAGCCACACTGGCGGGGCTGTGACTCACCTTCTTTGTAAACTGGAGCTGTGACTCACCTTCTTTGTAAACTGAACGCCAACTCAGACAAAACATGTTCATTTATTTCCCCTCTGTACATGACTTTCAGGATCTAATCTGTGGAAACTCTCACCACACAGGTATTTCGACCTCGAGTTGTAACGGAAGAGTTCCTTTTCAGTTATGGAACCATTCTTGTGAGTAACACTGAATTTTTCATGTCCCTGATAAAAATGTGGCTGTCTCTACTGGTGGTGGAATTTGGTGTCAGAATGAGATAATTTAACGATTCTCATGGTATTTATTTGTCTCCAGGGAAGCAACCTTTTTCTGTTTTTATCTGTTGACTGTAATAAAATTTGACATTTGGAGAAAAATACATTTTTCTCCTGATAATGTATGTTGTTCACAGACAGTGCCAAGTAGGGGAAGTAAGTCCATAGTAAACACTTTTATTCACTTTGGAATTACACATTATGGGGAAATGTTAACTAATAAAACTGGTGAAAAGGGAATGTGAGGATATATTGTCGTTGTTATTTACATTGGCTTGCCTTGCCCAATCACGCGCTGTCACTTTTTATGATGGCATTTCTCTAAGTATAGCTTAATCTAACTTTTTCTTTAATTTTGATGAGATGGGTAGCAATGAAAAACAAATCAGTGTGCTATCTTTCATTCCAGTTTTTGCTCACAAAAAATACTGTTTGTATTCAGATTGTGGCCCGTGAATTATGTTATCTTTTGCCCTTGCCTGGCAGAGTTGCAGTGTGTGTCCTCCATAAAATGGAGAGCTTTTCAGAGGGAAAGCTAAGCATTTGTCACGCAGCTCCTCCATTTTTGCTTTGATGTTTATAATGAACAGTGAGCTGAGATTTTTCAAAATGCTGCAGAGTTATCTGTTAAGCAAACATCTCAAGGTTATTTTTATTTATTTTTTAATAAAAAAAGGATAGTCATCCACAAGTGGGAATATAGCTTTCTAGAAGGTCCATCATGGGGTGAAGAATGATGTTTTGAAGTACAGATGTTGAGTGCAGGTCACTGACTTTTAGTGAGAAGTGTGTGTAGGTAATGCAGTGGGGTCCTTTTGTGCTCAGTTTCAAATCTTTATCACCTTAGCGCCTAGAATCCAAATTCTATAAAGTACATAATTTTTGTTCAACACTCATAAGTTTGCAAATTATTAGAAATTTGTTTACCACCTTCTTTAATTTGCTCTTCAGTCTGCTTCTATGTACAATATGGGTATCATTGTAGCCTGACTATAACTCTGTATTTATAATCCCATTGCACTCCATATCAATGGGTGAAAATAGTAATTTTGCTTGTGGAGCCCACCTTGGAGGATTTTGGCGCAGTGTTTGTTTGGGACAGGTATAACTATCCGTGTTCATTCATTTATTTTTTTTCTCTGCCTACAGTCACTAAGTACACTTTAGTTTTCAGAGAACTACCAAGTATCTCCAACATAAAGGTCTTCATGGGCCTTTAGGAATTACATGTGTTTTAGGGGAGAACTCATCTCCATGTGATTCAGAAACAAGGGAGGAGACACAATGAGGAAAGGTCTCCTAACCTTCTCCCAGATGTGGGTGTACTCTGTGAGGGAGGGTTTATTCTGTAGGGGCTTCTTCATGGAGGCCCTTTTAAGGAATGGAAAATAACTTACTTGGCCCTACCTGGTTTGGCTCAGTGGATAGAGCATCATCGGTCTGCAGACTGAAGGGTCCCTGGTTCGATTCTGGTCAAGGGCACATGCCCAGGTTGTGGGCTCGATCGATTTCCAATAGAGGAGGCAGCTGATCAATGATTTTCTCTCATCATTGATGTTTCTCTGTCTCTTCCCGTTTCCCTTCCTCTCTGAAATCAATAAAAATATATTTTAAAAAAGAAAAAAAGAAAAACATCAATTAGAACGTCAAACCTCTGGGAAGGTAGGGGACAGTGGGGGTAAAGGGGAGAGATCAACCAAAGGACTTATATGCATGCATATAAGTCCTTTGGTTGATCTCTCCCCTTTACCTTATATGCATGCATATAAGTCTAATCAATGGACACAGACAACAGGGGGGTGGGGAAATGAATGGAGGTGGGGGAATAAGGACATATATGTAATACCTTAATCAATAAAGAAATTTAAAAGAAAAAGAAAATAACTTACTTGGCTCAAAGATAATTATAATATTGGAAAATTTTTATCAGTTTTTTTTCCTTATAATGTCACTCAAGTAGAGGGAGTTTAGGTCTCTTCAGGATATTTTCCTAGATAAAATCTGGGCCATTCCCAGAATTCTTTTGTTATTTCTCTTATCACATCTGTTATCTGCCCTTAGCTGTATGTTGGCACTGATGAAATACTAGTAAAAGGGAGAGAAGTAGTAACTCAAAGACCTGGATTCAGTTATCCACACAGTTCTGTGCATGTTATTATGAGCCATTGAGGTTGGATGTTGCTTCTAGGAGTTGATTTCTAATCTATCCAGAAGACGCCAGAGATATTATTCAAGGCAATAGTGACCTACTGATACCATGAGGCACAATCAACTCCTCCCATCTCTCAGAGCCCCTTAGAAATTCATAGTGCCGGTTAGCAAACCTCTTGAGTTTTCTGCTTTAAGAGTATTCTTTTTAATTTTGTTTAAACAGAAGTTTCCTAAACTTGTTTGAGAGGCTTTGTTTGGGCTGCACAGCTATAAATGTCTGTAGCCCGGTCCATAGAACAACTTTGTGCAACTATCCTGAGCACAATGTGTCTCTGTCTTTGTGGCATGTTCCATTCATGTGTAGACACTTAGCATCATGTTTGGGAAGCCTTACTGGTCTATCTGTAGATAAATACCATTTTCTGTATTTTTCAAGATTTATCTGGTTGAGTAGCTACTGTATGTACTATGGCAGGTCTATTATATTTTTTCATATTTTAAAAATATGCCTTAATTTGAAGTACTCAAACTTGGTCAACCTTTAATAACTATCCAGTAGCAGCGACTTGCTGCCAAGAACTTTCTAGGCTTCTGCTACAGCAGCTTCGCAGAAGCTGTTGGCCTTCCTCAGGTGGGTGTGGAGACAGCAGTCAACGTTGGTGTGATTTCCCCTCATTAAAAGGGCCCTAAAGGAGCAGGCTGGAGGGGGCTTTGGCATTGTGCTTCTCATTAGCTTCCATTTCTATACTGGCATTACCATATGGTTTGCCTCTTTAATCTGTGGACATCTTTTATTTTTTAGGTAGAAAAATTTAGGATACTTCTTATATATGGAGGCATGAACCTCCCCCTGTCCCCAAGTAAAGTGAAGTTTTGGTCTTCTTATACTTAAAAGAGGCTAGTATTTGGGGGGAAAAAATTGGCAGGATACTTGTAAACCATTATTAAGTTTTCAAAAGCTCCACACAAAAGAGGGCTACACAGCTGATAATGGTTGTTTTCACTTCTTATTGACAGAAGCAGTGTGTCATCATACTTGTTTTCCTCTTCAGTAAAATAACGTACCTAAGGATATGTTGGCAGTAAAGCATCTGTGCAGGTGCAATGGGGAAATTCCGTGGTGAATACTGTAGTTTTTTGGGCCTCCATTGAATTGGGCTGGGAAACAGGAAGTGATGACATTGAGGAAATATGTTCAGGAACTCATGATGTGTACTAACCCAATGTTCACTGTGTTTCTCTTGTCCTTTTGAAGATGCTCTTGATTAATGAGCTGAGGAAGAGAACTTTGTTGTGTTTGTTCTTAAGTTCCGGCCTTATTAGTTTATAAAAGAATTATGGCTGAGTGGTGATTTGACTGTAGTTTTCTACAAAAAGACATCACAATCGAAATTTTCAAATAAAAGAGGAAAAAGAAATGATAACATTATTTTGATAGATTCTCATGCAAGAGTATAATTATAAACTCCATCATTCATGAATCTTTACTTACCCTGGCACCGAGATAGTTATTCAAAGAAAAGACATACTTCCTGCCTTCTGCACGTTCTTATTTTAAGTGAATGTTGCTTTGTTGATTGATTTTTTTTATTTCAGTTGCTGTAAATGAAGCAGAGTGCAATCTTATATTTGGAAAAAAATATACTATATAATTATTCATTGCCAAACAAATATTCTTGTTATGAGTTTTTTCTCTGTTTTCTACAAACCTTGAATTTATATACTCAGTTTGCTACAGGAACTTATTTCTAGCCTCTTGGAGTAGTACTGAGTGATATTGAATAGCACCGCCTGCCCTGGAGCCATAGCTTTCCATTTTCCCCTTTAGATGGGGCCATTTTCTGCCTTGTACTCCTTCACCCAATGAGCCCATCCTTTTAGCTCCTCTACTAGACCTCACAGCTTTGAAGCTTGCTCCATCAGAAAGTAGCTTGGTTACCCTTGTGCTGTGACACAGGCTTCATGTACAGATTTCTTGGTCATTGCCCCTCATTCCTCAGAATCTTCCTTGGACCACTGTCAGTCTCTCCATGCTGCTCCTGGTGCCATTCTTGGAGAATTGGATATCCTTATGGAGGGCCCTCCAAGACTCAGCCTCTCAGTTCCTCCTCTACCTTCTTGTCTTTCCCTTCCACAGCACCTACACCCATGAACTTTCTTTCAGCATCACACTGTCTAATTTTCAATGTCTCTGCTCCCCATCTTCAACAGCCCTTTGATTCCTCTGAGACTTAATTGGTCTTGCCACTGTCCACTCATCATCTTGCCCCAACAGCTGCATTGGTCTTTGTTCAACTCAGGGTTCCATAGAGCTCCAGCTCCCTTCCCTGCCCTGGATTCACCTGTAGCTCCCTTTCCACCATTGTACTCCTCTGGCAGAGCCTAATCTTGGTCTGATTCAGTTCTCCATGTATCCACCCCTGCTTTGAGGGGCAAATGTAGCTAGAGAAGAACACCATGCAGGTAGCTTGTCTCACTTCAGATTCATGACTGCTCATTTCAGGTGCACCCTCTCTGCAGACTGGTGCATCTAGCTCGCTTTCCTGTTTTTATGTACCTATACGCTCACCTACGTGACCCTTTACAAGTTCCTTCTCGCCTTGAATCTCCAGTGCCTCCTACTGTGTCCTCACTCTCACCTGAGTAATTCCCATCACACTAAGAAGGAAGAAGAAACATATCAAGACATTAAAATTGGTAAATCAACATTAAGTAGGGTCTTAATAAAATAAATCAGGATAGGTATAAAGAAGAAAAGAAGTTAAAAGAAGCCATAGTACTCTGATTGACATTTAGAAAGACAAAATTAACACACATGCATGGTTAGAAAATTCCATGTGCAGAAAGGCAGAAAATGAAAAGTGAAAACATGCTACCCAATCCTCTGCCAGCGGATTCCTTTTTATTCACATCTATATTTGTGCTTTATCTCTGGATTCTTTTAAAATTATACAGGAAAGATCATAGCCTAAACACAGTTCAGTCTTATCTTTCTTAGTAAACCATGGACATTTGGTAGTTTTAAATCAAAAGACATCTCTACTGGTGAGTGAGTGTGGTTGCTATGAGGAATGGTTATAGATCAGTTGGATTACCTTCACTCTTGCAGGTTGTCCTATCTGGACTTATCTTGCTATTGAATTTATTCCAACATTAAGTCTCATCGATGGTGATTGGGATCTTTAAAAATGATGACAGCTAATAATGTATATATGCTGTTTCAGATGATCATATTTTAAAACGATGATTATGGAGTTTATAATTTGTGTATAGTATTTAATGCCTTCCATGAGTTGTTTCATTAAGAAGGTAGGTGGTTTGGGGGAAAATTGTTACCTATGTTTTATTTCAGAGTTATAATATTTTGAAATCCCCACTCACTAGTATTTTTATTTTTCACAGAGTCATATTAAGTTGATAGACTCAGGAGAAACTAACATAGAAGGAGCCATAGGTGAGTAGATCATAGGAACATTTTACATCCTTGACTGAGGTACTTTGATATTGTGATTTTGAACATGTAAACAAACACCTGCAATAGTTACCTATATTTCTAGGACTGATGGCATCGGAAGAATTTATCAAGATCACGTTGTCGGCTTTTGAAGCAATAATACAGTATCCTGTTTTACTGAAGGACTATTGCTCTAAGGTCAGTCCTGGCAGCTTTTAAACATACGCTTTTTTATTTACTTGGGAATTCTGCATATGGTAGAAATCTGAGTATATGCATATGTCATCATTTTATTTACTTTTGATAGACATTAGGTTTTACCTAGTTTTTGGCATTTATAAATATTGATGGATATTCTTGTTCATGTGTTTTGCTCTGCATAAGCATGCACTACTTTTAGGGTACATACTTGGGAATGGGATCAGTGGTCGGCAAACTCACTAGTCAACAGAGCCAAATATCAACAGTGCAACGATTGAAATTTCTTTTGAGAGCCAAATTTTTTAAACTTAAACTTTTTCTAAAGCCATTTCCTCATCCTTCCCAACTCTTGTTACTTCATGCCTGGGTATCTAGCAGTATTTCACCGTAGTTTTAAATGTTTGTATGATCAAGACTGCTAATGAGGCTGAGTAGTTTTTCAAATGTTTCTTGGCCATTTGAGAGCACTCTGTTATGAAGTGCTTGTTCTGTTCAAGTCCTTGTTTTAATGTCAGAGAGAGGAAGGGAGAGGCAGAGAGAGAGAGAAACATGAATGAGAGAGAATCATTGATCACCCGCCTCCTGCATGCTCCCTACTGGGGACTGAGCCCACAACCCAGGCATGTGCCTTGATCGGGAATCAAACCATGGCCTCCAGGTTTATTGGTCAATGCTCAATCACTGAGCCATGCTGGCCTGGCTTTTTAAAATCTTTATTGTTGAAAGTATAACAAATGTCCCTTTTGCCCCCATTGATCCTTGTCCTCTTTTACGACTTTTTTTGGAGGCGAGGATGGGAGGGCCTCTGGTTTTCTGTAGATGCAGTACAATTTAGCTAAATGTGAACCTGCTTTTATTTATCCTGCTTAGGATTATCTGTGCCCCATGAATTTGGATTGCCCTTTTTTATAATTTCTGGGAAATTCTCAGTTATCATCTCTGCTTATTCTCTCTTTCCTTTGCTCTGTCTTCTTCAGCTACTCAGGTCATGTGTACATTAAACTTTCTCTCTGTGTTTTTGATATATTCCATCAATTTTCTCTCTTAGGGTTATATTCTGGATAGCTTTGTTTATATTTTGGATAATTCTATTTCTGTCTTCCATGTCCAGTGTGGTACTAAATATAGCCATTGAGTTTTTAATTTTGGTTACTTTTCATGTGTAGAAGTTTTGTTATCATTAGAAATTCTGCTTATCTTTTTTTTTAATCTACTATATTTTTAATAATTTTTTGTTCCCTATATATATTTCCTAATCTGTGATGTATTTACTCACATTTGTTATAGGTAGTTGTTTTACACTACTTATGATCATTCCAATATCAGGAGACTGTGAGGTGCTGTGGTGTCCATCATATCTTGCTTGTGTACAAATCGTCTTGTGTTCTTGGAGATTTTCTTTACATTCACCGCTTGTTGGCCATGGCCTTCCTGGGAGCTGTGTGTGGATCGTCCCTCCTCCAAGAAGCTTCATGCTTGTCCTGGGCTCTGTCAGTCAGGGCTCCTTAGACAAAGGTCATTTGCACCCCATTTGCAAGTCCCTGAGACTGGAGTCTGAGATCTAACTTCCAATAGGGCAGCCTTCTCAGCATTTCCCTGGCCTGGGAGCATGTGTGGAGGGGTGGTCCCTGGTTCTGGTTCCCCTTACTGTGAGAGTGTAATCCCCGCTCTGCGGTGCCCGGCCCAAGGTAGGAGACTCACAGAACTCCGCATACAGCAAGACTGGACTCGGTCTCCATCTCTCGCCCTAGCGGGCCCTCTCAGAGCCCTGTGTTTGCACTATTGGTAAGTGCCTCCAGGGCACTCAATACCTGGTGCTAAGATAATTGCATACAAATGCTCAGACTGAGAAGTGAATTCAGCTCAGCTCTCCGGTTAAAGGTTTCATTCAGAAATTGGTCTGAAAGTTTCCTCATTGTCTTTTCAGATCTTCGTATTTCTAAGGTTTTGTTCTTTTATATTTTATCTGGCATTTTAAAATTGTTTTCAGTGAGAGAGTTAATCCAAATAATACCTACTATTAGCAGAAACCCTGTTTGTTATGATCACTTTCTGAGTAATGATTCCCCAGTCTTCCATTGAGATAGTGTTTGCTTAAGCGTTGCTTATTGATTGTTTTCTCTAATGAGCAATAACCCCATGGATAATTTTTGTGATCTAGTAGTTCCAAATACCTGTACTTACATTTAAATAGACACTCAATAGTTTATTTTCTAATCATGAGATGCTATCATAATAATCCTTGAAACTACAGGGTGTATTATGATAAGAACGGTGTCATTGCAACTTATGGGCTTCGTAAAAGAATTCTTAATGCTATAACTCATGGGAAATCCTCTAATTACCACTTCTGGAGCGTGACTGGGATACATGAAATTGAGGATTCAGCATCCCAAGGAGCATAACATTGTTTGAAATGTTAGCACAAACCATGTTCAAGGCTGCTGATCAATACCAGTTATATGGAAGTGGTTGCATGCATTTAATTCTCGCTGAGCACAAGTGCTTAACTTGGATTTTCCCAGAGTTTAGACTACTTTGTGCCTCCGAGTTGGAAATTACCAGTGTGGCCTACAGAGTAGTTAGAAATACCATAACCATTTGATTTGTTCCATTCATGGGGGTTCCAAAATATGTTATGATAGCAATGGGAAAAATAAAGGTGATTCTTTATTAGAAAATTCTGGTAATAACATATTGTACATAAGTGGCCTAAAATATATTTCAATTCATTTAGCTTAAAACAATAAACTAAACCATAATATATTTTATTATTACTTTTTTTTTTTTTTCAAAGATCCTGCCTTTTTGAAAGTTTTTAGTCTTTGGGGGTGAAATCAAGATGTCAGCATCCGTGTGTTCCTTTGGAGGCTCCAAGGGGAAAATCTGTTTTCTTGCCATTTGAGCTTCTAGGATCTGCCTCCATTCCTTGGCTCATGGCTCCTCCTTCCATCTTCCAAGCTGGCAGCACAGCGTCTTTACATCTCTTCTTATAAGGACCCTCCTCCAACATTGGGCCCACCTGTGTAATCCAGGATGGACACCTCAAATCAAAACTCTTAATCCCATCTGTGAAATCCCATTTGCTGTGTACGGTAAGAAATCAGCTGGTTCCAGGGATGTGGACGTCTGTCCGTCAGCATTCTGTCTGTCACAGATTCCTGTTTTTATCGATGGCTTCATGACTACACTTATTTTGGTGCTGAGAGTATAGCAGATTTGGTCAAGTTGGCTCATGTGTCCTTGTGAGAAAGGCCATCATTTTTTGAGCTAGTCTGTACTTTCTGCCACAACGCGGTATTTTGGCTGTTACACAGCTTGTAACTTACCCTGGCCTGGCCCTGGACTCAATCTTTTTTGGTTCCCTTTGGTGGGAAATGGCATTAGAGACCATACTCGGGGAACTAAGGTACTATTTCCTGAGATGTCTTAGCTTCTAGGCCCTTCCAAATTTATCGTCTTAGAGTTCTGAGACATACCAGTTGGGAAGTATATATGTATATACATCTATGAACACACACATATAACCCATTCATATGCACACTTATATACATGTATGTATATACACGTATTAGTATATATATTGAAATCATGTATTCACACCAGGGTCTTCAAATCTAGTCCATCCCCACTTGCCTTCCATCCTCTCTTGCCTTCCCCCATTCCATATTTGAATGTCCCTTCTTCTTTTGTAAAAATTCTGGTTTTTTAGCAACATGAGCCTATTTTCTTAATTGTTTAATCCTAATACATCTACAATGATTACAGAATTGCTTTACCTAAACCAGTACAGAAACAAACCAGATGGAATGAACTGAGATGAATGAGCCGTTAGTGTGAGATTTTATGTTTGTCTGGCTGGCTCTCCTCAGCAGGCTGTGTTTACTGTTTGCTGTAGCTGCTAGTTTCAGAGGCTGATATCCCTTCAGAGGTCTAGTTCTTGTCTCTCCTCCTGTCCTTGGGTCTCCGTAAGAATTCCTTCTTAAATAAAGCCCTTAGCCCTGTCAGTTACCACCCTGTGTTATTGTATAGGGGGAGCCCTGCTGAAGTGGTTGGCAAGGTGTGGTGAGCTTTGCTTGTGTGGGGCATCGTTTCATTGGTTTGGGCAGCCAGGTGGTGGTGTTGGGCTGTGAATAGTTTCTCCTGCCTTTTTATCAGTGTAGGCAGGGATTTTGGTTGTTGCCAAAACAGTTCATCAAATGAGATAGTAGGTTTCAAAATTAGACCATGGGTGTGATTTGTCCTTTCTTCATTGTCCATTTTTATTTGGAGGAGGAGGGAGCTTATTTTGTAGATTTCAAACCATATTTGATTGTGCTCTGTCTGCTATTACTAGGAAATCATAGAGTTGTTTTGTATAGTGGATATACATCTTCTGTATCTATTTATAAAAATAACCAGGATTAACTTGTCATAGCTCTTTGATGTATTTCACAAAACATGAAGATTATATATCTCTTTTTTCCTCCAACATTTTGATCATTGTTTATTTTCAACTTGAGTAATGATCACCAGCTCATAGATACATTAATTTGATGGCTTAATATCAACCCATGCCAATCAGATTTTGCATTAAATACTAAAGTTATTTTCATGAACCCTGAAGGTTTTGATGATTGTAATGTCATTTTGACTGGGGACTTTGAGCTTGGTCGTGAGCTTGGTTGTTTATTAAATGTCATGCAGACTTTAGCCGAAACCGGTTTGGCTCAGTGGTAGAGCGTCGGTCTGCGGACTGAAAGGTCCCAGGATCGATTCCAGTCAAGGGCATGTACATTGGTTGTGGGCACATCCCCGGTAGGGGGTATGCAAGAGGCAGCTGGTCATCGACGTTTCTAGCTCTCTATCCCTCTCTCCTCCTCTCTGTAAAAAATCAATAAGATATATATATATATAAAAAAAGGATCAATGGGAGAAAAAAAGGGGACATATATAATACTTTCAACAATAAAGATTTATAAAATAAATAAATAAATAAATAAATAAATAAATAAATGTCATGCAGACTTTAGATCCAGGGTAAATTTAGTTGTTGCCTTTTTCCTCACACCTTTGATTAGTGATTCTGCGGACTGAAAAACATAGTGGACAAAAAAACATAGATAGTGGTTGTTATCAAGCCCGTGTGTGCGGAGGTCTGAACTGAGTCTCGAATACCTTTTCTTGTAGGTTGTTGATTATATCCTGCCACCCTTGGTCTCCTTGGTTCAAAGCCAGAATGGTAAGTGACCACATCTCCCAGAATTCCATCGGTTCCATTCCATCTCCATGGAGTCACGCTCTCGGCGTTCTTTTCCAGTGGAGTGGAGGCTCTTCAGCTTGCGGTTGCTCTCAGAAACCACGTCTTTGCTGGTGAACCAGGAGGGTGGAGATGGCAAGGAGGCTGCGCCTATCGACTCTGACAGCAACCTTCTGGCTCTCATTAGAGATGTCCTCCTTCCCCAGTGAGTACCGTGCTCTGCACTCGCCCAGAGCGTGTGGGCCACTCAGGATGCCGCGGCCGGGCGAGGGCCACCACTGGCCTTGGGGTCTCCCTGTCCTCACATTCATGTCCACGTGCTTATGTGCTCACCGTAAGGAGGCTAGGACCAGAGGCAGTAACTGTCACACTGCCTGGGACCCAGGAGAATCTCCGTCCATGTTGAAAAATATCCATTTAGAAGTTCTCCTGTGTTCTACAGACTCTGAGATTATGCAGAGTTAAAGATGATTATGGCTGGGGACAGGGGTGAGGTTTATTATTCAAGGTCAACATGATAAGACTGCTGGCAGATGACATTGGGACTTTCCTGGGCCCTGCTCAGAAATGACAGAGATGGAAATCTTCCTTCCCCCAAACTCTTGTGATGGAAATTAAGTTTAGCTGCAGATACGGGGTGGTAGAACAAGTAATGTAGGAATCATCAGAAAGAGTTATCTTTTCCGTTTGACTCCATCACTCACATAGCAAACACACAGTAGGGTGATCACAGAGGTCTGACCTCACGTTGTTTTGAGCAGCAGCGTTCTGTACAGGCTTCAGCCCGGAGCAGCAGGCTGTCCCCTGGCTGAGGTGTGTGGCAGGCTACGCCACCTAGGTCTGTGTAGGCGCACTTCGATGTGCGCACAGTGACGGAATCACCTAACGATGCATTTTTCAGAGTGTTTCCGCCATTGAGGGGCGCATGTTGTGTGTGACAGTGTGTGAACGGCAGGTACTTATGTGGGTAAATATAAGCTTAGAGCCTTGTGTCATGGGATTAATGCTTTCGGTGCCATCTTACACTTACAAACTGGTTATACATAATCATAAACATCTTCCTGACAGACGCCTAATAATGTGACTTTTGTACCAAGTGTGATTTTTAAAAGATGTGTTCTGACTAGCTGCTGGGGAAGCGTTTCACAGGACCTGAGCTGTTCCCTCATATGTGGGGAGGGGTTTCCTCCAATGGGACTTCGCAGTTTAGTAAGAGCTGTTAACATGGATGTGAATTTGCAGTAAAATCTCTTCATATCTGCAGTGTGCCCACTTTAGGAGCAGTTTGTAAAATAAAAAGCGGTAAGTCTATAATTCAGTGTTCCTGTTTTATTTGTTTGAGTTGGAATGAATATGTCTTTCTTTCAATAGAAAAGGTGCACCCTCACCTTTTCTAGAGATGAGGAATTAAAGAGGAAAATACAGATGTGAGCCACGTGACAATTCAGGAACAAGAGTGATATTAGATGACTTCAGGTTTAACTAAGCAACTTGAAATGCACTTTGGATCCACTGTATGGGATCCACTGGGATGTGTTGTGGGGTATTTGCAAAGCTGTAGATAGATTCTGATGTGAAGGGCAGGTCTTGCTCTGCATTTCATTTTCTAAGCCTCAGTTTCCTCATCTATAGAATGGGATAATAGTACCTAACTCAGTGTGGGAAATAGTACCCTCTTGACAAATGTTTCCCCGAAAATAAGACATCCCCTGAAAATAAGACCTAGCGCATCTTTGGGAGCAAAAATTAATATAAGACACTGTCTTATTTTGGGGGAAACGGTATTATTAGGTCCATTATTAGAATCTCTCCTATGCAGATTGTAATGGTACCATAATAGCAATAGTACATATTATACTTCACAGAAATGAGGAGCCGATAAATGTATAATGCTGACTGCTTGCCTGGCAGATACAGAGAGTGGCTCAATCAGTGTTATGTAAATGTTTTTAAAAAAATGAAAGATAATGTATTCCTTTAACTCTGGAAAACTGGAAGCCTTGGCAAGAAGTTTGATTTTTGAAGATAAAATCTTGGTAATTGTAAGTTTAGAATCGCTAATAATGGACAACTAGGCTTCTGTAGTGAGCATATAAATATAATGGCTTACAATTATGAAGTTTCTAGTTTATAGGAACTCTGTGGCATCTGCTTCCATTTGGAAAATGTTGTAGCCCCTTATCTGCAGGGGATAGATATGTTCCAAGGCCCTGGGAGATGCCTGAGACTGAGGATAGCCCTAAAACCCCAACCCGTCCTTCAGCTCTGTCAGAAACGCGGCTGCAGCTTCCTCCTTGGCAGACGCAGCCTCTCTGGCAGCTTTTATATTTCTCAGGCCCAGCATGCTCCTGGGTCTGTACATCCACCCTTCAGTGCAGTAACTGGCGGGTGTCATTCATCTCTGGGATCCCTGGCTGATACAGGCTCAATACTTTCTGGTGCAAATTGTCGCCATCCATCGGAACATGTTTTCTATGTGTGTTTTCCACCCCCCAAATTTTCCCTCTTTTTTTTTTTTTTTTTTAAAGCTTTAAAAAAATTTATTTCTGAGAGGAAGGGAGAGTGTGAGAGAGAAATATAATGATGAGAGAGACTCCTCAATGGGCTGCCAATGGGGATCAAACCTACAACCCGGGCACGTGCTCTGACTACGAAGTGAACCATGACCTTCTGGTTCGCAGGTCGACGCTCAACCACTGGGCCACGCCGGCCTGCACCTTTTCCCTTTTCACTAACCACTTACCGCCCCTGTGGCTGTAACGTTTGCAGTTGGAGGTGCGACTGCAAAAACAGGCACGGATTTCTGGTTCTCTCTTCCAATTTCATGGATAGAAGATTTGTTGTTACCATAGCTCTTAGCAACCACATCAAATGATGTTTTTTTTTTCTTTCCTGACTCAGTTGAGAACTTTGACCTTTGTACACTTAAAGGAAACGCTTTGTGGTTTCTCTGTGCCATATCCCCGTTGCCAGCATCTCCTGCGCTGTGGGGCCATCGTTAGTAAAATAAGGCTTTCTTAGCACAGGCACTGCCATACTGTGACAGCCAGCCTGATGACAGAGGTGGCCACTGAGTGACTGACAGGTGGGGAGACTGCACGGAGGGGAAGCTCAGGACAAAGGGGATTCCTATCTCGGGCAGGATGGTGCAAGAATTCGTTATGCTTCTCAGAACGGCACACAAATGAACACTTCAGTATTGCTTTCGGAATTTTTTATTTAATATTTTCAGCTGCAGATGACTGGAACCGCAGAAAGTGAAACTGTGGATAAAGGGGGGACTCCTGTAGGTATACTACTGTCAGTACTTTTAATTTTGTTAACATTTTTTTTCCCCCTTAATTCTTTGGATAAAGCCAAGGCAACAGGCTTTTCATGGCCCCCCAGTTTTTTGTTTTTTTTTACAGGAGAGTGTTGTATTAGTTCAGAGTGTTTTGTTTGCAAATAATAACACTGGACTCCAACTGGGAAAGTAATTATTTACTCACTGAGAAGTCCAGGGCTTGCACTGGCGTCACATAACGCAGGATTCGGGGGTTTGAGTTCCTTTCTAGAGAACCGTGTGTGTCTCCATCTCCGTCTGCCGCTCCTGTGCGGCTTTGCTCTCAGAGACGTTCCTTCTCGCGGGGAAACGGCTCCTGGGCGCTGGTCCCAGGGAGAGAGGGGATGTCTGTTCTATTAGCTCGGGCAAAATTTTAAGGAAGGATAACAATTTAATCTTGTTAAAGACCATGTAATACCTGTGTTCAAGGTGCTTATCAGAACTGTTGTGTGATGTGAATGAACACTCAGTGGTAAGAATAAATACCTTGTTAAACTAAATATTAGATATGGTTCTCAGAGAAACAGAACAAATAGGATGCATACACACACCCCCACACCCCTACACCCCGTATTTTCCAGCGTATAAGACGACCTTTGAAACGACAAAAAGTCAACCGAAAATCAGGGGCAAAAGACCAAAATTGCACAAAAATTACCTGCAGATCTTGACGGCAAAGTAAGTCTTTTCTTTGAAGTGGGGGATAGTCTTATACAGCGAATATAGGCCTAAACCTATGTTTTAACTGTAAAATTAGGGGGTCGTCTTATACGCTAGAAAAATAGGGTGTGTGTGTGTGTGTGTGTGTGTGTGTGTGTGTATATATATATATATATATATATATATATAGAGAGAGAGAGAGAGAGAGAGAGAGAGAGAGATAAGAGAGAGAGAGAGAGAGAGAGAGAGAGAGAGAGAGAGAGAGCGCGCGAGCGCGAGCGCGCCCGCGTGCTCTATTGTATGGAATTGGCTCCCTTGCTTACGAAGGCTGAGAAGTCCCAATCTGAGCCTAAGGCCTGAGACCCAGAAAAGCCCTTGGTGTACGTCCCAGTCTGAAGGCTGGCAAGCTGGACACCCAAGAAGATCTGAGGTTTCAAGTCCAAAGGCAGCAAAAGACCAGGGGCCCAACAGAAGGCAGTGGGAGCAGCAGGAGTTCCCGCGTCCTCAGCCTTATTGCTCTATGTAGGTCTTCAGTGTGACTGGTGAGGACCGCCCTCGTTAGGGAGAGCCACTGCTTCCCCGGTCTGCTGACTCACGCATTAACCTCCCCAGAAACACCCCGGGGACACACCCGGAGTGACGCCTGACCCGCCGTCTGGGTATCCTGCGACCCGGTCAGGTTGACATCACCGTACCTATCATAAATACCATGCATGCCTCTCCGAACTATGAACTAACATCAGAGACCCATTACCTCTTCCCAGTGTGCATGCTTTGCTTTCTAAAGAAATGAACTTAAGTTACAAGTATTTGTGCCTTTTGTACGTAGAGGATTTTACTACCATTGATAGGGAGGCGGCATTTGAGTTATGAAACCTGGCTGTGATTGGATAGAAAGCGAGTGGGCACCCCAGAAAAGAACGGGGGAAGCCAGGAGGTGGAAGAGGCGGAGGAGTTGGCAGCGAGCTGACCAGCTTCTTTCCAGCAGAGACTGCACGTGAGAGCTGCGTGACATGAGCTTGGGAGAGAATGTTCTCTCTCTCCACCAGCCCGTTTGATATTCATGGACACTAATTGAATGTGTCTTATTTCACTGGCATATTTCTCGTTGCTGGAATAAAATAGTGAACAGGAGAGGCCCAGTCACTGCCTTTACGGAATGTACTGTCGGGTAGAGCCAAATATCTCAGACATTAGTCATATATATATTTTTTTAACCGTAG